TCTCTCCATGCAATGAATGAACATTTAATGGTATGCTGTGAGAATTATCTTGAATTTTAATTTTACTGTCTCTTTTTTGCTGGCAAAAGTTGAATGATTTCATTTTTTTTTAATAATAGCAAAACAATCAAAATATTTTATTAGTAAATCTCTAAAATCATTTATCTTTTACATCAGAAATCCTTAAAAAAAAAAAAAAACATTGCTGTAATGCTTTTCTACAGGAATAATTTGTTTGAACTGTAAAGCTGCAGTGAGTAAATTCGTCGAAAGAACCTTTTACTTTAGCTAAAGCAACGGGTGCATCTTTTCCATTACATACGATAATATATTTAATTATTTATAGAGTATTAGAGGAAATGGAAACATGATAGCAGAGAAGACGTTATCCTTTAATGGTCCTGATGCAGCGCGTGTGATGAGGGGTGATCAGGATTACTTTAATTACTGAATTGCAGCTATGTGATGGAGCAGCATTGAAATCAGCTAGAAGGCGTCGCAACCAAATAATTTTGGAAGCTGCAGTGGTCAATGCTTGATATTCTGCTTCGGTGGAGGATCGGGCGACAGAGGGCTGCTTTTTAACGCTCCAAGATATCAGTATTTTTTCCAAAAAATTACAATATCCGGAAGTTGATTTTCGATCTTGAGGGTTACCAACCCAATCGGCGTCAGTGTAGCTGTAGCGCAGCTGAATCGTTGTATAATGATTATCCATATATAGTGCAACAAATATTTCAAGGAGCCAAAATGACAATTGAGAGGTTTATGCATATATTGATAGATTTGCTGAACCACAAAGGTAATATTCATTTTTGTGAGTGTAAGATACTGCAAAGAGCCAACAAATTGTATGTATAATGTAGGATTGGTAAATTCTACCATTCCTTCCGGGTCGGTGATAGGTTTAATCGAGTTGGGTGTGAAAACCGGTTTAGCATTCTGCATGCCAGCACGTGTGAGAAGCATTTGTGCATACTATTGTTTATTTAGGTGTAGGCCATTGGAGGTGGGAGTAACGTGGATATCAAGGAAATGTGCTAGAGGTCAAAGGTTTCACATCAAAAACTTAGCTAGCAATTTCTCCAGTAAATTATTCGAAGCCTGATGATCATGATCTGTTAACAGAATGTCATCCACATAAATGAGAATGTTCCTAACTACTATGTCGAAATTATAGATCATAAATGAAGGATCAGCTGCACTAAATATAAAATCAAATGCTTGTAGATCACCCGAGAAAGTGGCATACCATTGCCACGAGGATTGATTAAGATCATAAATGATTTTCTTGAGCCGACAGACATTGTTGGGATGGAGAGAGTCTTGAAACCCTTAAGGTTGCTACATGTACACAAATTAATTCAAAAACCGATGGAGAAATGCATTAGACACATCGAGTTGTAGGATGGGCTATTTTCGATTGAGTGCTATGAGGATGAAGACCCTTAGGTGGGTATTTTGATAAATGGACTGAAAGTTTCGGTGTAGTCAAATCCGTGTTCTTTTTGAACCCTTGAGCTACAAGTTCAGCTTAATATATTTCCATAGAACCATCTGAAATAAATTTGATTATGAACGTCCATTTACAAGTTGAGCTCTGCATAATTATTCCCACTATTTGTCTGATGCAGGGAATAAAAGATAAATTTCATTAATATACTTTTAAAATATATTAATCAACTTTCCATAGACTTTAGTTTAATTAATTGATATATTTTTAAAAGTATATGAATGAATATTATAATTTTCATTTTCTCCTAACAAATTCTTAATAATTATATTGATGAATGAACATTTTTTTTATTCTATAATTTTTATTTTTATTACCTGAACATAATTTAATTAGTGTTATTGACTTATTTCTCAATTATGAAATTTATCTAGCTAATTAATGAAAAATAAGTCAATGATAATATCAAGGAGTGATCGATTGATCTTAATTGTTGTAGACATGACATAATAATTGGATTGCCAACAAATTTTATTAAATATCAATAAAATAGATATCCATAAATATCAATGCTTTATAAAATTAAAGGGGCATGTGATTTTGGGTTGATTATTTTGCGACCAATTTTTAATTTGGTCATTATAGAAAAAAAAGTAGTTAATATAATAAGCAACTAAAATCACTAAATATCATTCAAATAAATACTTTCACATAAAAAATGATCGTTATTATGTACAATTTTAGCGATCAATACTATTTAGTGGTTACAAATTTAACAACAACTAAAAATTGTTCGCTAAAAGCCTCAATGACGAGTTTACTATGACAGACCGGTTGTTACAGCCCAAACTCATAACTATCATTATATTGTTCGCTTTGATCTAAGGGCCTCTCAATTTTATGTTGTTGGTGTAACTTCCCAGGAGGTCACCCATCTCAATATTTTTCTAGGATGAACACACTTAACTACATAGTTTCTTATTGCAATTTCAACAATTACACCAATAGAAATCGATATTTAAGAGTTTGACTTCTTTTTCTAATTAAGGGGTTTCACAATATACCTCACTTAAATAATTGATGTCCTTGTCAGTATCCCTACAAGTTCAAGTGGCGACTTCTCACCAAGTAGCACTTTGTCCCACACATGATTCAAGAGGTTATTCTCATGGTGTAACACTTTGACTTGTATGAAACTTTATTCTCATCTTGTGGCTGGTATATTGCTCTGAAATCATTTGTAACAATCCAAATTCTTAACTATCGATATACATGTCATTTAATTATATGGATCCATTTATAATTACAAGTAATAATTACCTTAATTAAAAAATACAATATTTTAGTAAGATGTTAACCTACCTCTAATGCTTTAGATTTATGTTGTTCATAACTAAAAATAATTCTCAATCATTTAATCATATTTGGAAGGACATAAGGTGCACTTTGCAATATGAAAAATATTCTAAGACCTTGCTTACATCCACATTACAAATGAATACAAATAAATTTCTTTTAAATTTAAAATTATCTTACCATAATGATGATTGTAAATAGAATAAAGTTCCTTACGATAATCACCACGAAACATTGTTCATTCATGAACCAAATGTTTTTATAATAGTAACATAAATATATAGCTTAAAGCTAAATTTCTCATAAAATATTATTGTTGCGTCCAGGAGTAGTTGCGGCGGTAGAGAAATATCATATTTAACGTCTTAGCGTTGTACGAACGCAATCAGATAAGGAGAGAGGATCTAGCATTTATAAGACACCAATGTTTTTAATTGAAAAACCCCTGAAAAAAGGGGAAAAACCACGGGGTCTAGCCCAGTTTAAATAAATCCACTAGTATTGTAGTCGATTACAAATGAAGCCCTTCCTTGGGAGAAGGCCTTAGCTTGGTGTACATTTTATAGAGTACATTACATGATATAAAGAATCACTATTGACATGTTCGTTTGGTCGGGAGGACCGTAGTCGGCGGGCGACGGAAGTCGGAGGGCTTGTAGTCGGTGGGCGACGTAAGTCAAGAGGACAGTAGTCGGCTGGCGACGGAGGTCGGAAAGACTGTAGTCGGACGACGAAGATCAAAAGGACAACGTCAGGTAGAAGTCCAACAATGGAAAGAAATCCATCTTCGCGTAGACGTCCAGCGAAGTCCGATAACCAGTGGAAGTCCAGCGTTGGGTAGAAACTTGGCGAAGAGTGAAGGTTCGACGTCGGGTAGAAGCCCGACGTCTGTTGGTGGCAGAGGAGAACTCCGGCTTCACTTGGGCGGAGTTTCGGCATCAGGAGTAAACTCTGTTGTAAATTAAGAAGAATTTCAGCATCACGTGGAAGTTGGGCAGAATTCCTGTGTTCTCCCGAATATCACGCAGAATCCCGGCGGGAGGCAGGACGAACTCCGGCGGTGGTCGAGGAGGAGCTTCTTCCTTCTCCTCCTTCTTCTCTTCTTCTTCTCTCTCTTCACTTGAGCCCCTTTGGTGTAGAATGAGGGCTATATTTATATTTTTTTGTAGTGGCATAGCCCGTAAATAGGCGTGAGATCAGGGGCGAATTGAGAGTGTTTTGAATGGACGGCCGATATCGAATCCTTTGATCATGCACTGTTTGTTGGGCATTTGAAGGCCTTAATGATGTCTGAATTTGTTGATCTTGGGTTCGTTGGATTCGTCTCGTCGAGCCGTTCGATTCGAGTATAAGCTCGTCAAAATCGGAGACCGTTTGGTAACTCAAATTGCGGATTGAACCTTCCAACAGCGCTTTAAGCCTTTGATTTGGACTCATTTGGGCTCGGATTGGGTTGAATTTGGTGTCGTTGGGTTCGTATTTCTGAGACGCTCAGTTTGACTATAAGCTCGCTGAAATCGGAGTTCGGGGCCTCCCAAAATTAATTTTTGAAGTTTTCAACTAGCTTTTGCCCGAAATTCGTGCCCGATCAAGCTAATTTTTTGATGCCGTATCAATTAGATAATATAAATAACTATATTAAAAAAATTAAAAACGTGTTTATCTTTAAAGAGAGAATTCAAATATCAAAACAGCATACAATAAACATATTTATTAGATAAATTTAATTTTTTCATGTCATTTTATTTGTTTATCAAAGACATTAAACGCAAATAAAATTAACAAGTTTTCTTTTAAATTAATATTTTTTTATTAATTTTAAATTTTAGGAGAAATTTTCTGTCCAATAATTGTCATTATTTAGATATACTTAGACTTCGTTTGGGACGGCTTTTTTATTGCTTTCTAAAACGGAGTTTTAGTACAAAATTAAAAAAATTTTGTACTAAAACTCTATTTTAGAAAGCAATAAAAAAGCCGTCCCAAACGAAGTCTTAGATAAGTAAAATTAAGTTTTTGCATAAATAATTAAATAAACAACCTTCGGGAAACAAAGCGAATGCATTCTGTTTTTTGAACACGAATCTCGAAGTAGATCCTACGCTAATTAACCGCGTAGTACAATTCATTAGTTTTTTTTTTCTCAGCATTCAGGGCCGTGAAAGGATTCCAGAAACCCTAATTTAAGGACAGAGTTCTTCGCCGTTTACCCTTATCTTATTCTTCCTCATCTTCGGTTCTCTAAAATCCCATCTATCGTTTAGTAGTTGATCTCTTCCCTTTTACCGAATCCTGACTGTTCTTTTCCATGGCGGAGGAAGTTGCAGTGGGTGCCGAATCAATTGTCTGCGAGACAAAAGAGGCATCTACGTTGGAGGAAACAGAGCCCAAAGCGCCTGAAAGGCTTGAAGAAGGGACGCAGGCTGTCTCTGTTGAAGCGTCGGCACTGGATTCATCGGATCAGAAGAGGAAACTAGCGGATCTGGAGCCTTTTGAGAACGATGAGGCACCGGCCAAGAAGCAGCAGATCGACGTCTCGGATGCCATTTCAGAAAATCCTGCTGCTGCAGAAGACGAGGTCATGGTGACATCGGAAGTTGACAAGCAGGATATTGAAGGTGAAGAAACGGTCGCCTCTGGTACGTGTGCCTTGGTGACTACTTTTCCATTTTTACTCCTTACAGTTACGGTTTTTCTTAGAGTTAATTAGGGTGGAAGATGTCTGCTTTTACGATTAAGCCTTGATATTCCATATTTTAGGGCATCCGGAAACAGAAAAGCCTATTCCAGGTGAGGATGCCGCAGCATCAGATGGAACGCTAGTTAGTTCTGCTGTTGATGGGAATGTTGGTGAGGAACAGCCAGGACACGTTAGAGAGCTTGATGACGCAGGTACAACTCGTGTATTATGGTTGTGCTAAACTGAATGCATTAAGATGGCTGTGTTAAACTAAATTTTATTGTTTCCAAGATCATATCAGGAATTGAAGCTTTGTCTACTACAATGAGAAATGTAGCTTTAACAATAAGTGCCCTTGACAATTTCTATATGGGCTGTTTGATTTACCAATCCAATTTATATACCCTTTAATGAAGCATTTAGATTTTTTTTCCCTTCAATAAGCACTCACCTATGTTCATGATAAGGCCATCCGTTTTTCAAGAGTTTCATCTATCTTGCCAAATTGCATTGTTAATTTTTAATAACCAACCTGACAAATTTATGAATTGTGTTTCTATGGGAATTCTATTAATTGAAATAGGTGGTTGTAGTGGTTCTCATCAGGATATTATATTCTACAGGAAGGCAACCCATGCAAATGCATGAAAAAATTATAGTAGTATTACTCTATTCAATTAATTTTAAAGATTAATATATTATGTATGGCTACCTATTTGTTGCATAAATAATGATAAAATGATAATGCTAATCTACTTTAGAAGCATAAAATTGATAAACCAATTTTATAACTTATATAAAATACAATTTTTTGAATGTAAATATTATATTTAATTTAAATTTAGTTTTTTTAATTATAATATTTAATAAATAATTTAGAATTGTAACATTTGAAAATAAAGCAAACATTAAAGCTGTTATTTTATGTTACAATATGTGTGTTTAAAATTAACTTTATGACAATTTAAAATGTATAGATAATTAGGAGAAAAAAGTTTTTTTTTTCCAATTTGATTCTTCATATTAATGAAAGAATGAGTTAATCAAAGGAGCTATACATCTGAGTTTAAGATGGAAGCCTGAAACGGACTTGAAGTGATTTTGAAACTATATATGTTTTAATAGTTTCATGGACTATGGCTTCATTTCCCATTGTGAGAATATTTTCTATCTTTATGGTTAAAATCTTAAAAAAGTCACATGAAGGGCTATTAAAAATAAATCATAATTCAAAATTCCTCAAAACTTACTCCAACTTGATTGAATATAGCTCGGCACAACTTGAAATATTAAACATTTTAAAAAACATAGAAAATAATATATGCATAATATATTATATAATTTGAATATTACATAGGCTGCAGCGTGATACTAATGTTTCTCAAAATCAATTTGGATTCATGCTAGATAGGCCTACTATGGAAGCTATACATTTATTGAAAGGTTTGATGGAGAAGTATAGAGAGAATAAGGAAGATCTACATATGATATTTATTGATTTTGAGAAAGCATATGATAAAGTTCCAAGAGAAGTGCTATAGGGAGTTCTAGAAAAGAAAGTGGTTAATAATGCTTATATTCAAGTCATTTAGGATATGTATGCAAGAGCTAATACTTGTGTTCAGAAACAAGGTGATTTGACGAAATATTTTCCTATTTCGGTTGGATTACATCAAAGATCAGCCTTAAGCCCATATCTTTTTGCTTTAGTCATGGATGTTCTCACTAGACATTTGCAAGAGGTTGCACCCTGGTGTGTGCTTTTTGCTGATGATATTCTTCTTGTTAATAAGACTAGAGAGGGAGTTGAAGGTAAACTTGAATTATGAAGGTCAACATTAGAGTCTAAAGGCTTTCATTTGAGTAGATCTAAAACTAAATATATGGAGTGTAATTTTAGTAATAATAGTTCTTGTTGGTGATTGTGACGTTGGGTAATAAAGTCATTCATAGTACACATTTTACATATCTTAGGTTCATTGTTCAGAGTGATGGTTAAATAGATGGGGATATTATTAACATAATTCAAGTTGGATGGTTGAAGTGGAGGAATGCATTAGGTTTGTTGTGTGATAGAAAAGTCCTCAAACTTAAGGGAAAATTCTATAAGATGGTATTTAGACCTGCAATGCTTGTTTGTGCAGAATGTTGGCCATTAAAAGAGATGCATAATATTAATTTAAGTGTTGCGGAGATGAGGATGCTCAGGTGGATGAGTGGTTTTACTCTTAGAGACAAGATACAAAATGAGCATATACGTGAAAAGGTTGAGTAGCTCCGGTGGAAGATAAGATTAGAGGGAGTCTCCTTAGATGATTTGGTCACATAAAACGGCGGTCTTGCGATGATCCAGTTAGAAAAATAGATGCATTAGATTTTACTTATTTTAAGATAGGTAGAGGTAGACCTAAAAAGACTTGGTTAGAAAATATTAGAAATGACCTTTCTTTATTATATTTAAATGAGAATTTAATTTTTAATAGGGCATAATGGAGAAAAAAGATTCATATAGCCAACCCCACGTAGCGGTATAAAGCCTTGATGTTGTTGTTGTCAAGTAATAAATGAAAGGTAAGTTTTTATAATTGAATTTCTAAGAAAAGAATTTAGTTATTAAAGAAATATTGAATATATATATATATATATATATATATATATATTTGATTAGAGTAGTTATTTAAGAAATTTGATTTGTCCTTTTTATTATGATTTGATAGATATGATATGTGTGACTAATTTTTTTTTTAAAATATGAATGTTTTTCTCTTTTATCAATGAAAAAAAAAATCTAATAGAGTTCGATTTCAAAGTGAAGCTTTTTGTTGCTTTGTAGTTTTGGAGGGAATCTTTTTTATAGTATTTAGTTACACGTATATAAATAATTTACTCAGAGCTTAATTGAGAGAAATCAGCAAAATGGTTAAGTTCCAATTGAATTCCTAGGCTAATTACTGTGTAAAACAGATATGAGAACTTATAGTGATGGAATTTATCATGAGGTACTAAGCAAGTATCCTTTGGCTGTTTTAGTAAAATTCCAAGAGGCGAAGCTTCTTCATAATGTGTTTAATCACGTTTGTATGAGCCTCCTTAGCATGTATTGTGTTCAAGATTTGCCAAGCATCTGGTTACTATTCATCTCTGCTCCTTTGTTTTCAACCGTCTTTGAATTGATGGAATATTGCTTAAGAAGTCTGTCCTTAATCTATATTTGAACAAAATTTGAAAAGCCATCTCGTCATAATGGGAAATCCTCAAAATGCCTTGACATAGGAGCCACAGTAGGTGATGAGAATAGTTTGGAAGCCCAGAATATGATTTGTTTTTCATTGAAAACAAACAAAATTGAGCTGATAGCTTTTTTTTGCCATCGCCGTATAAGTGGGTACCTACTTGTCTTCTGTGCACATTTTGTCCTTCAAATTTCAGTTGAACTATATGAAATCTCTTTCACAGCCTTTTTTTTTTCTTTGTTCCATTTCATGGGTGAAAGCTTTTGGAGGGTTGACTATATCTGCAGAAAAAAACTCCAAACATGGAATAGAACACAAAAAGAACACAAAGTAGATTATACTATGGATGCTGCGGAATATCCTTTTCCACATGAAATACCATTTTCCCTTATTTTCAAAGTAATAATGTCTCAAAAAGTATTCCAGTGAACATTTCCCTCTTTTATTTTCTTAATTTTGTTTTTTTAATGTTTTTCTAATTAGTTATTTGTTAACAAACTGGTGAACTGTAAGCAGCATTGCAAAATTTTTTTCTATGCTTACCTGCTTCATTTTCTGCTAGGCCTCGAGCAGGTAAAGTTGGAAGCTGAGCCAGTAGGCAATGGACAAATTTCATCAGCAGAAAACATCCAGCATGCTTTTGTGGATGATCTACAAAAACCTTCACCTTCAACTCCTCACCAAGGCAGTTTTCCACATTCTGGACACCAAACTTCATTTGATCTCTCAATTTCACGAAAAATTGAAGTGCCTAACAATAAGGTATTTTAATCCACTCCCATTAATATCATTTTAAAGGAATTAACCCACTCTTCTAAGGAATATATGTTTCATCTTTTACTGACCGCTGACATGAAATACCCCCCTCCTCTTATGGCATTGTTATTATTTTTTCTCTAGTTGAGCATGTTGCCTTGTTGTCAACAGCCGAGCTTACTTTTGTTATACCAAATGCATAATTGTATCAATTGTTTTCTCTCTTCAAGCTAGGTCTTATTTGCATCAGTGTTGGGAATATCCTTTTTATCGATATCCAAATGTGAAGTAAGGGCTCTTTCTGCCATGTAGAAAAGGTTTTTGTATTAGTGGGTTATTTGGATCATTACAATCTCTAGTAGATTCAAAATTGATTAAATAAGAATCTATTTTATTAAATTGTGCTGAATTTGCCTCCTCAACCGCATATTTGAAAGCCAAGTGACCATTTTTTAATTAGGGTTGTTTTATTGGCTATAATAGTTGAATTGTTACATTTATGTTCTTTTAGGGGCTATTTGATTGACAACATTTTGAGTGTAAAATAAATCTTGGGGTTTTGAAAATTTGGATGATTTGATAGTTGCGTTTCAATTCCAAAGTATTTTAGTATTGAATTGCAAAGTATCTTGGAGTGAATTAGGAATTCTTGCTCTAATTCATTTTGAGTGAATTTGGAATTCATCTCTTTTGAGCGAATTCCAAATATACTGCCTATGCTACTGCCCGCTCCAGCTCCTCGCTACTTCTGCTGCAGTCTTCCTTTGCGCATCTACTACTACCGTTGCAGGTAGTTGCTGCTTGCTGCTTGTTGCTGTCATCTTTGGCAGCAGTCGCTGGTCAACATCATTGAATTCCGCTTCAAATCAATTATTGTTTCAAATGCACTGTTATTTTGGATTTTCTTAATGCCAAATAAGAAAAAAGTAAACTTTGCATTTGTAGTGTACTTAAGCAAACAAATCAAAAATATTTTCAAATTTCAATACACTACTTTTGCTTTATATTACATTTTTTTAATTATGCATTTCTTTTTTCATTAAACCAAATTAGCTCCTTAATCAAATGTCGATTACCTTTGTTTTTTTTTTTAATTTTTTCATCACCAATTCTTTGGGTTAGCATCTCAGTGGAGAAGCCATGGTGATTCATTTCTTGAATTAGCCACTGTTGCTGAATGCATACTTGCCCTAGTGTTGTTTGTAAATGCCTTGTCCATGCAGTGTTAAACTCACCGTCGATTGGAAACTTACGAAATTCATTAGTAGTGGTTGCAAGCAGTTTTGATGTTTTAGCTTCATTTACTTTTTGATGCCATGCATATTAGTGTTAACAAATTCAACTATATATGATCCATTTGAGTTTTAAATCTTAGAGGCGGGAGGTAATACTTGTTTTAACTTCATTTTTCTAAACAAATTTTCTGGTTGAATCGAACTTAGTTTAAAATTATCCATTCAATTGACTATTCTTTATATTTAAGCTTCTTCCTTTTTCATTCATTCTTAGACTAGTGAACTTCGTTGCAAACTTGTCTTTATGAGTCTTGCCATCATGTTAACAGCTCTTAATTCATTCTTATGAATAATTCATTTTTAATGACCATTTACTTCACTGAGCCACGGGGGCATGAGATTTTAAGAAAGCAATGACCATTTTTCAGTGCTTTTAGTTTTTCAGTTCATATAAAATGTCTATCTAATTTGAGATTTTCTGTTGCCTTTTAGCCAAACTTGATTGTCAAATGTTTTGATATGTTATTTTTCTTTATTTAACTTTGTTATTGTGCTCAGGTTGGCGTCCTCATTGGCAAAGCTGGGGAAACTATTAGGCATCTGCAAATAAACTCAGGGGCAAAGATTCAAATCACAAGGGATGGTGACAATGATCCACATTCTCCTATGCGACATGTTGAACTGACTGGGACCATGGAAAACATCAATAAGGCAGAACAACTGATCAAGGATGTTATTGCCGAGGTCCATAATATGGTTGCCTTCGATAGTTTATAATTACACATCTGATATTGGTTGTTAATTTTGTGCTTATGAACTATATGCACCTCTTGTTAGGCCAATGCTGGAGGTTCCCCTTCACTTGTGGCTAGGGGGTTCAGTACTCCACAATCTGGTGGAGAACAGATAGAGATGCAAATTCCAAGTGACAAGGTGACAGCTATAGCAACCTCTTGTGTTTTCTTATGTTCGGTTTGACCCTTTCTATGGGCTAATTTCTTTTGTTTTGTTGCTCAGGTTGGTATGATTATTGGTAAAGGTGGTGAGACTATAAAGAACCTGCAAACAAAAACTGGTGCTCGGATTCAGGTATATATCAATATTACGTTGAAAATGATGAGTATATGCTTAATTGTTATATTGATTGATGATGATCACACCCTTAGGCGTTGAAGATGTACAAATTATTACTGCTGTTTTCATGCAGTTGTTACCACAAAATCTTCCTAATGGTGATACATCAAAGGAAAGAACGGTCCGAATAACTGGGTACATTAAGCAAGTTGAATCTGCAAGAGAATTGATCAAGGATGTTATGATCCAGGTCTGTATATCATGTTGATTTTGTTGTTTTTATGCTGATATCTCTGTTATAAGTAAGCATATGATATTTTGCGGGAAAACATAAAATTTTTGTGCTAATAATGGAGTTGTAGTAGAGTATTTGCCTTTTCTTCCCTCAACTTATTTTGAAAATCTATGTTTGTGCATATTCATCATAGAGATTTTGCCTTTTGGACAGCTTTCTGTAGGATTGCAATCTTTAGATTAACGCTTTGAGATTTCTGTGGTGAATTGATCTTTTATCTCTCCTTTTATTGGTTAAAGAGTTATAGTTCCTTACTGCTAATATTTTTCTCATTTGAGGAAATACATTTATCTCATGTGCATTACTATTTACGCTGAGTACCAGTTTAATCCATTTTATGCTTCATATGAGGAACATAAATTCGAGGAGAATCCCTAAAAGATTATAGGTGTGATGTAGATGATGAGAGGGAGGCAGAAAAGACTTTTTTAAGAATGACATCTATAGTTTAATAAATTCACTTCGAAGCTCTGAATTTAGCCATACTTAAGGCACTAACACAGTAGCACCTTAGCTGCTCAAGCAAGGCAAGGCATCTTTTTGAGCGCCTTATGCATTAGTGACTATAGAAGGTAAGTTCCTTGCCTTAGTAGTGAATTTTCTTAGGCAACAGGTGCTTCATATGTGCATACCTTTTTATGCAAGAAAATTTGCTAAATTTCATTTATCTTCTTTTTCTTCATCTCCTTTTTTGACATATTGTTTGTGCTTCATTATAGCTTATATTACCTTAATGCCACCCTGTACCTTCAATCTATTTCATTTTTATGTTTCCTTTAAAGCTTAATGTTGCGGATCTGTTCTCAACAGAGGTAAACAAGTTATCATTGTACTTACCTATATTCTACTCATTCTTTTTCTATATTTCATGCTTTTTTTCCATCTGTTTGATTTGAGTAGTTTTTAGCATGATTTTGTGATTATGTATGTTACTAGCATATTGTTATTGAGTTATTTATGACCTATATTAACTTTTTTTTTTCTATTTTTAGTAAACATCATCAAAGTTTTGTTCTGTTTAAAATAAAACCAAATATCATCAAAGTTTTGTTATCTGTTTACCTAAATAACTCAACGAAGTACCTTGCCTATATATAATATTTTTTGAATAAATCTTTTTTTTTACTTTTAATGTTACCAAAATGCCTTTTGCTTTGAATGTTTTAAATGATGACATTTTTTTAATGAAAACTTGTCATTACTGGATTTTTATTGTCATATTTTCTTTTTAAAATTGGCATTTTATTTCATAAAGTTGCCTCTCCGCAGACTTATATTTTGGGTGATATTGTCCCCTTAATTTTGAACCCCAATAAGTTTAATGATAGATGTAAGAAAATTCGGTAGATTTCCTGGAAGCTTTTTCGTGGTAAGTTTCAAGTTTTAATTATGTTGATAGGTGTTTATTTGTTTAGATTGAACTAGCATTTACTAATATGCGTTACAAGCATCCTCATTTAGTATGTATTTTATTGTAACTTGAATTTTTGGGGATATATGAAATCTAGCATTAACATGTTGTCACCAACGTGCACAGGGATGTTGTTCTGTAACTTTTCATTTTGGTTTGGTTGACTAGTTGAGTGCTGTTTGGTTTAATGTAGGTCAGACTTCATTTTTGTCATAGATGTTGTTGACCAAAATGCACCCGAAAATATTTCTTGTAACCTTATCATTTGTATGCATTAGGTATCTTAGTTTGATCTAAGTTCTTTATCTCAAGGCATTTTACAGTTGAATATTTATTTATGGCTTCACCGTAGTTCTCCATAAAATGTATGTTTGGCTACTGCAGGGTGATAGTTCTTCCATGCATTATAAGTAAAGACAGCCAAATGTCATTTAAACGCTGATAGATGATTAGTGCAAATTTAAACTATCAGTATTTTTTTTCTGCCGTTTATTGTATAACTTGAATTGTTTGGATTTTTTTAAATTTTTTTTTTAAAATCACCCTTATATTTAATGACCGAATTATTTCTAAGAGGGCATGGGTTCATTCATTTTATATGTTGTATATTGATATGCTCTTTAATCAAACTATGGACATGGGTTTATATGCTTGTTTTTCTTAATTAGGTTACAAGTTCTAAGCTTTGCATATTTAGGATTATTTCTTTTTCTATTTGGAGGTCACCCTTATTATTGTTATAGGGCTCAATTGCTTTTATGAGGGCATGTTCATTTATTTAATATCTCTTACTTTGAAATGATCTTGAATAAAAAAAATGGATACATATCTGAATTCTTATGCTTCTTAATGAGGTAACATTTTTATATGTTTTTGTTTGTGGGTCTTAGAAGTATAAAATTACCATTGTTGAGATCAGCATGCTTTTCTGTTTTATACTTTGTGCTATGCTTTGCATATTTAGGATTATTTCTTTTTCTATTTGGAGGTCACCCTTATTATTGTTATAGGGCTCAATTGCTTTTATGAGGGCATGAATTCATTTATTTAATACCTCTTACTTTGAAATGATCTTGAATAAAAAAAATGGATACATATCTGAATGCTTATGCTTCTTAATGAGGTAACATTTTTATATGTTTTTGTTTGTGGGTCTTAGAAGTATAAAATTACCATTGTTGAGATCAGCATGCTTTTCTGTTTTATATTTTGTGAAATGTCACATTAATCGCTGATCATAAGATATGTTAGGAAGATTAAGTTATTTTTAAGTGTTATGAGGAATGTATTATTAAGGGATGTTTAAAAGCATGTCAAGATGATGAAGTATTTCTAAAGGCTTCCATGTTTTCTCTTTTTTGCTATTAAATATGAGAAAACATCGATTATTAACTTTCAAAAAAAAAAGGTGCTAATATTAGGAGTAGGATGATAGCTCTGCTTGAATTATACCGGGGCTAATATTCATAAGGATTTGTGCAGTTTCATGTTTTCAGGGGCATGCCGAGGAAGCATATTAGCACAGGTTACCTATTATATTTTGGTTTTGAGGCTTGTAGTTCCTAGCTTAGGGTAAATAACATGGATGAAATAGATTCTCTGAAAGCTGCTGCAATTTTCCTCATTTAGGTTCTTTGAATAATTTAACATCACTAAATCGATGACATGCTATGGTTAAAAACTTGATTTTGATGTTTAATATGTACAAAGCCTGATATTTAGTGTTGTTTGCTATGATGCACATACACGGACATGACACGGACAAGAGATATGTCTTTTTTTTTTTTAATATAGGATACGGGTACGACGCGGACACGACATTACATTTTTTTATATAGTATATAGATATTAATGTAACATCATATTAAAAATGAATGATGTGATAACTTGTCTAGCTTATAATATAAAATATTTAGTTCAAAATGTATAGTACAATCACAAAATTATAAGCAAATAACCACTTACTATAACATCAAGCATTCAAGCTTCAACTACTAGGATTAGATTCAGAGGTTTGTTTTTGGCCTTCAATATCATCATCATTGAATATCATCGCTTCCAATTTTGGTTCATCTAGAGAAAGATTTGTAATAGTTCATTGGTTATCATATAATGAAAGTTGGTTCTTTGTATCTATTTACTTCTCTAGTTCGTTAGATCTCTCATTCTTTATCCTCTAATCTAAATTACAAAGAATGTATCTATTTACTTGTAGACTTCTCTAGTTCTTCAGTTCTCTCTCATAATAGTTCATTGGATATTATATATTTATAATTAAAATAATTTTATCATAAAAAATTATGACACACGTGTCCCAGTCGTGTCCGAAACGTGTCCTAGCCATGTTGCATTAAATTTAAACATTATTTTAATTGGACATGTGTTTGCCGTGTTCGATACGTGTCCCAGCTGTGTCTTACACGTGTCTGTGTTCGAAACTGCATTCTCTCTTCAAGAGGTGTGTCAGTGCATCATAGGTTGTTAAAAATATACTCTCTATGATTTGGCAACAATATCTGTTGAGCATAAGCCTTCCATTTCAAATTTTTGTTAGAACAATGCACTTCTTATATTTTGGTTTTGAAACTAGTAGTACCTAGCATAAGGTAAATGACATTGACGAAATAGAATGTTGTTGTAGGTCTCCTTATTTTAGTTCCTGTTTGATTAGCATAGTTGCATATCACTATGGTGACATTCTACTGTACAAAACCTGATTTGATGTCAATATGCAAAGCATGATGTTACATGTTGTTAGAAATATACCCTATTTATTATCATATGGAAGCAATAGCTGTTGAGTATAAGCCTTCCATTTTAAATTGCTGTTACTTCAGTGCATCTATTATATTTTGTTTTGGAACTTGAAGTTTCCAGCATTGTAAGTGACATGGATGAAATATATGCTCTCAGTAAGGTGCTGCAGGTTACTTCATTTAAGATATCATTTGAATAACATAATTGCATGTCTCTAGGCTGATTAGTGATTACATGCTTCGGTACAAAGTCTGATTTTGATTAATTTATACAGCTTAAGATGATATATTGGGGATTTTTTTCAGAGCTAGGCCTTTAGCTTATCATTACTTCAGAATCAAAGTCATCCTTTCACTCCATTTTTGTAGACGTGAGATATTTCAATTGAAATTGGATCAGGATAATCATGCCATGTTTCCTTTTTTTCTTTTGTTTTTGAATTAGAGTTTCTTCAAGGCATTTGTATGAAATCCCATTTATATTCATGGTTATTATTGGCAAAGATTCAAGCATTGGTGTCGATATGCTATTACCAATATCATTCTTTTAGCTATTTGTTATCGGGTGACTGGTATACTGTCTATGAAATCGTGCTTAACCTCTTTTTTATTAGTTGGTCAGCTTGCTAGGAGTGAATTTTGGCTATGAAAATCTTTTACTATTAATTCATAGCATTGCTTCCTTGCAATAAATCATGAGTTGTATTCACCTTCAATATAAACCTATATGCTTCAAGAATCTAGGGTTAATGCTTACCTTGACTAAATCTAAAGGCATTTGCCCCATCCTTGTATGATCCAAATGAAGCTTGTTGGTGGTTACATTGGTTTGATTATGCTGAAGATTCCAACTTGGGGTTGGTTGGCTTTCACAATGCAGATTTGGCTATACCTTTCTCATGAGATCAACGTTGGTATCTTGCAAAAAACTTCATTCTTCACCTGGTCCACTGAAGAAGGGTATCAACTTTTAACCCCCGTCATTGCAGATCTCTTATATAGTAGGTAAGCTTTTAGACTTTGCATGATCGTGCAAGAGAATTTTACTGGCCTTAATATTATTTAGTATCAAGGCACTTGCATGCTTGTGTCATGTGGCTCATGATGACATTTCTTGTTGTCTATAATATTCTCTATGTGGTATTGTACTATTTGATATGGTAAAGTTTTGTATGGCCTATGTGCTGGTAGTATTTATGCCCCATTTTGGTCAAGTTAAAGCTGCAACGTTTTGTTCTTTGTTACCCTTGAGCTCTTTGGCAGCATTATCTTATGTTTTATTTAAACTGTAGAATCATTATTTTGCTTAGGCTTTGTGTTTTTTTTCTTTTTTGGTTTCTCAATGCCGCCTCCCCACTTAACAGGAAAAGAGGAAAATAAAGAGTGAATGAGAAGAGATTGTTATATATACTGCCATTCTGATTATGCTTCATTGTTTTCTTTTGGCTTATGTATTCAGAATACAAAGTTGTCCTAAATTGATCCTGTTGCATGGTACATCCTACAACTTGTGAGAACCTACCCTCAGAGCAGTGTAAGATTCACCTATGTAAGATTCACCTATGTGAGAAGAGGTTGTTATATGTACCTCTAGAGTCATTCTCATGATGAAAGATTCAATTTTAAACTGTGCCAGTTGATGGATGCTAGGTATACTTTTTGTTTGTCTAGAAATAGCACGAGCTGACAATTCATCTTCTGCCAAATTTAATGTCCACAAGTCGCCATGTTCATGCTTAAGACAATTTCATCATCTTCTTTGAACTTTTTTTCTTCATTTCCAGTATGTTTTTGTCTAGTTAGTTGTTTTTACAGCTAAAGTTTCTTTTTGGCCCTTTTGAGTCTAATACAATCAGTTTCTTGTACATATGGCTTATTTAATTAATTATTTTTGTTCTGTTACGCAGGTTGTAATTGTTGGGTTTATACTGATTATTGCATTCAGTAGTTTATGCTCCATTGTTTTACCCTACTACTATCCTGTTCAATAAATTGTTTTTGTTCCATTATGCAGATTGCAATTGTTAGACTCATCCTGATTATCATATGACTTGCTATCTAATACCATTGCATGCCTCAGCCTACTTCAAACCCTAAACCCTAAAGCTATCAATATTTGATGATTATAATCTTTGTTGCTATATTTTAGCTCCTTACATCTATAAGAATTTTTTGTTTTCCATAGTTAAACTGTATTTTATATTTGTTTTGGGTCACTATCTTCTTTGAAACCCCTATGAACACTTGATTTATTGGATCATCTGTTCACTTTTTTTTTTGTTATGTTCTGCCAGAAGGGGCCTGCGAGGTCATCACCACGCTCCAATACATACAATAACCAGCATTCATTTCGGCCTCCCCGAGGGCCCGCTCCGGCAGCTCAATGGGGTCCTCGTGGGGGAAATCCAACTCATCAGACATCTGGTTATAATCATCAGCAGAGAGGTATGTATCCACCTCAAACAACACAATACCCTCAATCACATGGTAGTAGTTATTCGCAACAGCAACCCCCTCCAAGAGGTGGCTGGGAACATCAGAGACCTGCAGCTCCTGCTCTGCAGAATACTAATCCACCTTCTGGAGGCTATGGTTACTATAACCACCAAGGTGGTGGTCCTGTCCCTAACACTCAACCCTCAAACCCCTTGCCTGGACCCATACCTTCTTCGACACCGGCTCCGATCAACTATAACTACGGTCAGTCACAAGCTCCAGACGGCTATGGACATCAAGCACCCTATTCACAGCCTCCACCTTCTCAGCAGAACTATGGACATGGCTACACTGAACCTAACATGTACGCTCAACAGCAGCCCATGGCCTCACAGCCTGCAATGTATGGACAACCATCAGCTACACCATCATCATATGGCCCCCCTCGAGGGCCTCAGCCCGGCGACTCCATGTATCAAGGTCCTCCACCAAGCCAATATCCATCAAATCCATCAATGCAACAGCCATATCCATATAGTTCCAGTGCTCCTCCTTATGGCCATGCAGATGGGGGGTACTCTCAGCAACCTTCTGCTAGTTATCCTCAACACGGCGGTCAAAGCGCCGCCGCTGCAGGATATGGCCAAGTTGGACAAGCAGCGCCTGTATCATATACTCAGCCTGTTCCTCAGGCCGGCGGTTACAGTCAGTACCCATCATCTCAGCCAGGCTATGGTGATCAGACAGCGCAGGCTAATGTGAACTATGGATACCAGGGAGGGGCTCCAGATGCAGGATACACAGGAAATGTACCGAGCTCCGGCTATGCTGTTCCACAAGCTGCTGGCAACCAGACAGTTTATTCGCAGCCGCAAGCGAATCCATCGGGCTATTATGATCAGTCCATGATTCCGCAATCCGGCCATGGTGCTGTTCCTACTGCTCCAGCTGGGTATGGAAATACTGTCTCTGCGCAGGCTGGATATGGTGGTCAGTATGATGCAACTACGATGTATGGTAGTCACCAATAGTGATTTACTTAACCTTTTTAGGCTTCAGTGCTGAATCCTCTGATATGTGTTATGTAATAGATTGAGGCGCTTAATTGGAGAGTAGTAGTGTCATGTTGTTTTAAATGTGTAGCAGCTGGAGCTGAAGTTGTTTTTGAATTTGAACAAGTTGTCTCAGGTAGGGACTATTGCTAGTAAATCACTTTAATTTTATATCTGGATAGTCAGAGAGGGAGAGCCCACCTACTTAGGCTTCCACATTGGAAAGTTGAACTAGGCTATTCACTATTGTTGTGTGTTTACATCAGGCCTCAATATCGTAAGGCAGTCCAGCTTGTTTGGAAATTATTGGGTTGGGTTACCGGACACAGCTTACGTTTGGTATTCACAGTACTGAACTCGGTATTATGAAGTACTGAGTACCGAGCATTACTAAGCTCGATATTGAGCAATACTGAGCTTGGTAGGAGGGTTATTTTTTTTCAGTTTTTTTACCTATAAAAGCATTTGGTGCAAAATTATTTATTGGATTGATTTCCTTGAAGAACCCAATAAACTTGTTAAAACAATTTTTAGATATTATAGTTTTTTTAATACTTAGCATTTTAATTCTATTATAATATAATTGTTAGTTAATGATATATTTTTTTATCTTATAATATATTAATTTATTCTGCATAATTGGTAGTATAATAGAATATTCAAAATTAATAGGCATTTGTCATGTTGAATTTTTTTATGATATAAATATGCTTTTTTTTTAATTTAGTTAAAAAAGATTAATTTGTGTTTAGAGTAATAACGTTCTGAATTTTACTTAAAATGGTAACATCATTTGGACATGCCACAAAAATGGAGAATACAACTATATCAAAAAAATTTCATCCATTAATCATTTTTATGTTCGTAAAGACTAAAGAAGTGTATTATTTATTCAAGATAATCGAGTTATGATATTCATACGTCATAATATATATACATATATATTCAAAATTTTAATAATATAATTCAGTTGATTTATTAATTATATATATTTTTTATAATATTAAGGTGACAAAGAAGAGACTTATGAATATATAATTGATGCTCCACTATTAATTTAACTCTTAAATTAATAAATCAAATTATTAATTTTAATGTTATTCAACAGTGTTAAAAAATAATATATAAATTAAAATTGATTTTCATGGACTTAATCTCTAGCAAGATGTTTTTATATGAATTCGTGAGTGTCAGCCTTCTATTATTTAGGGATCATCTTCAGAATGGATGTTGATGCAACAATCAGAGATACACGCAGAGCTTTGATTATACATGAAGCAACATCGAAGAAGAAGGATGGAATTCTGTTAGAAATTTTCAGCAGAATTTATGGCCCCACCTTCACATTCCGCATGCCTGTTGATGTGATATCGAAGATTGCCTACGAAAATTCTGCAATAAACCTATAGCATCCTAAACAAATTGTCATTCATCATTTTAATGAAACATTTAACATTGTACAGCCTACAATAGTTTATGCATATATATCAAATATAATAGAACAATGCTAATAAAAATATAGAAGAAACCGTTCAAACATAAATCTGACATACATATTCAAATATGATCATTATAAACTAAATTGATCAATTCATAAATATAAATCTCACAACAATGCTTTCCTTAACCACATGCAAAATAAGTTCTCCAAACATGTTTAACAACTTAAACAAAAAAGCTAATAATATTTTCCAATATATATAAAAATCTAATTAATCATTTTCAATCTCTGCGCTCCCCTCAGACTAAGAAGGATCAAGTTGCTTATCCATCTTCTTCGATTTTGCTTCATGTGTGATCGCAGCTTTGCTTTACATATTATTTATGAAGATTATTGAATACTTCATACTCACATAAGCTTTCTTTGCTTTTTAATCAATCTGCTACTGATCAACTTGGCATTGATGTGTTCCTGTATGCAGCTCTAACGATGTATGCTCTCAACTAAGTATCTCTTTATTCAAAATAATAATAATAATAAACATATATGTGTAATAAGAGAAATCATTTATGAGTCATCGTTTATGCTCTGTGTGAGGCACGAAACCACTAGTCTGGAGAGAGCTCCCTAATCCCCTATAGTTGGATGTTTTATTTTATTTATTTTGCTCTCCCTTCTTACTGAACTCAGTGGTAGCCCGAGCTCTTGTCAGGTCATCCCATACACCCTCTCCAAGCCAAAAGGAGTGCTCACCAGGCTTTTTAATGCCAGTGAATCTATCCCTTAGTCGAGTAGAACCTTTCTTTTCAAAATTATTTACGACCCTCACATTATGTTCAGGTAACCACTTAAAGTCTCTATTTAACATTATCATCATCAAAGATATTAGTATGAAATTATTTAAACTTGTTAAAAAAATATCAGAACTATTTACCTGAAATTCCCTGAATCACAGATCTCTAACCTCCTGAGAAATTTTCTTTCAAGATAAGTATGAAGCATCATATCTACTCCTTATAATGTCTTGAGTGGGCTGCCTTGCATGATTAAACCTATACATAATAATGTTTTCCAAACCATCTTTCTCATTTACTTTACATATCAAATTACAAAATTAACTAGCAATATGAACTCATGTATTGCACTTAGGCTCTAAGTATAGACACCCATTCTCTATACCAGTTGACATGTAGTAATTCATAGAATTTTTGAGTTTCTATGTTATGTGAGTCTTCTATGTGTCCTCTAAAATTTGGACATGCTACATCAAAAATACATTTTTTATATTTTCTATTAATTTGATCTTCATCTATTATTCCTGAAGATATAGAAGGACCACAATGAGTTTTTGTATGTGGCTCAAACTCTACATGTGAGGTCTAAGACCCATATCCTGGGACAAAAACCCTATGATATAATTCAAGCGTTATCTTTCTGGTTTAAATAATCTTAATTTTTGTGTTTCGAGCATGGACATCTAAATATTTCTTCTGACTTAAACAAATGTAATTGACATGTCATATGAATAAAATATTCAACTTGTTCAATAAATTCATCTATAAGTGTTTTTCATCATAGTAACATTCTATTATATATCTAGCACCTCTCCTCTCGGATAATCATATGAACATTGATTTAATAACACAAAAATCCAACAATTATAGAAAAATCATAGTTAGTTATGAAAAGCTTGCCTTAGGCACTGCTTTCAATCAAATTTAACATAGACTATTTTCTAATCATATCAATATGAAAGTGTACAATTACAAAAGCTTTCACCACTGAATGATGATCATAGTTTAGACAAGATACCAAATAAAAAAAACCAATAAAAAAAATCATATGAAGTACTTTTCTAGACATATGATGAGGTATTGAAGACTCGAGAATACGAGACCAATTTATGGCATTTCATTATTTTTTATTTCAAATTCATTTTTTTGTCTATTCATCATGTTATAACTATAATATATTATGCCTATACAAATTTATACAAGTATAATGTTTAAGGTGTTAACTTTCTATTAAATCACAAGCAAATGTGGTCCAAATATTTAGTTTATACTCAGTAATGCTTAAGAATTTATTTGGGGATTAATTACATCATTATGAGGGCATTGACTTTGTAAGATTAAATCAAAATAAACTTCACTCAATTATAATTATTTTAGATTACCTCTACAATCTAGATTCTCACTTAAGGTTGTGCTTTCACACGTGATTCTTTATGATTGCAACCAAATTAAAAATAATAATAATAATAATAATAACACCTTAATTAAAAGTAATTGAACTTAAGTTCCATTCACATTTATATTCTTAAAATGATGACCATCTTATCACACTCACTAAATCCTAATGCAACCATAAAAAGAGGAAAGTATCAATAGTTTCATGTATTCCACAATAAAAATAAATGAAGATATGTGAGTGTATAATAAACACATAAGAGGAAAGTATCAATAGTTTCATGTATTCCACAATAAAAATAAATGAAGATATGTGAGTGTATAATAAACATGTGTTGCTTTTTGTGCTAAAAATGAAATGATCAAACTTCGAAGTGGTAAAAATATTTCTAACACAAATATGAACATGGCATGTGTTCTAACTGTTCAAATTTCTTAAAAAGAAAAAATGAGCAGAGATAATGAGTTTTACCTCTTAAATATCAAAGAAATAGAGAGAAATGAGCAGGTGATAGCTTTGATTTTGGGAGGAAGAATGTGAAAATGATGGAAAAAAGACAGATTGGAGTGAAATAGGCCTCTTACAAGTAGATTTTATGGCGAAAAATCCATCAAAAATTAAGTAAATTTTCCAAGAATGATATTAGACGGAAAAAACGCTGAGTGCACTACTCATCGGCGAATATTCTGGCAAAATTTTTTCTGCCGAATCAGCCCACCAGAAATTCCAGTGAAAATTTTCCATTATTAAATCCTTTATTTCTTGTAGTGATTTATAATATTGACTCATTTATTGATTTATCATTACATACAAAATAATCTTCCATAAAAGTTCATAAGCTTAATTATCACCTCTCTAATTACATCTTCATCTAAATAATTCTCTAATGAACAATAAATTTTATAATTTACTAAATTACATCTTCATCTAAATAATTCTCTAATGAATAATAAATTTTATAATTTACTAAAAAAAATTGAGTGTTCTATTGTTCCAACTCACGAATTAAAAGAACTATTTTTTTTTTAACTTTTAAAGTGAAACCTACTGGATTTCATATATATACTCAATCATTTGTTTCATTAATTTTCCATTATACGAGGATTGAGGTTTATATTTCAAATTTTTTTTGAGTGAGTCAAGAAATTATATATTATAAATTAATAACATATATATTTGAGCTCGTTTTGATGAATTTTAAACTCTATAAATTTATAATAAATTTATTAGAAAATTTATGATTCATCACGTCCAATAATATATAATCATATTATCTAAAATATCTCTAGGCTTGATATCTTCAAATCGAATAATGAGGATAAGAATATTCTATTCATGTTGATGGACTATTCTAATATTTTTTAATTATATATATTTTATCTCTAATTGAGTAATATGAATTAGTTACATTATTATTCATAATTTAATCTTTTTTTTTCTAATTGATTAATATACTTAATTATGGTTACATGAATAATACTAGAATAAGTATAATAATGAAGTATTATGTCCAATAATAATATACTCACATACGTTAAATGTTATCATTAAATATTTAATAAAAATAAATTATAATAATTTTACTTAAGGGCACACTCCCTAATAAACTTCCATTTGTCCTAAATCATACGAGGCATTTTTCTTAATCCAATTCCTTCTATATGTTTATATGAATAAGTTCTTTTAGGAAATATCTTGGTAAATAGATAAGTAATATTATCTTAAGATGATATATTTTGTACCAATACCTTACCCTTTTTCATGATTTCTCTTATCAAATGATACCTTTAATCTATACGATTTTGTGTTTGATATAGCTGCACTACTAAAAAAAGTGCTATAGGTTTTTCCAAAATTAGAATAACTTCTGATTCTTTATGGAAATTATGAAGTTAAACTGCTTATTTAGTTACTTGTGCAACAACTACATATTCAACTTTCATAATTGAGTTAGAAATACATTATCATTTTGTACTTTGTAATAATTGCGCTGCTAAAACCTTCCTACAACAGCAGTCAGAAAACCGTTGCTAAAGCCTTTGCAGCGAACACAAATATAGCGGTTTCTAAACCGCTGCAATATGTCTTAAAAAGTCCCGCAAAAGCCTTATTTATTAGTAGTGCTTATTCTTTATGGAAATTACAAAGTTAAACTGCTTATTTAGTTACTTGTGCAGCAACTACATATTCAATTTTCATAATTGAGTTAGAAATACATTATCATTTTGTACTTCATAATAATTATGGCACCTCCTCCCAAAATAAACTCTAAGCTAGACGTGAATTTACTTTCATCTCTCTTTAATTAGAAGTCAACATTTATTTTTAAAAATACTTATAAACATAATGTTTATTTTTATTTTGGTCATATCCATTAGATTTATTACTTTATTAAATATAATGTTGCAAGTCCTTAAAGCTAGCTTGAATCCATATATAGACCTTTGAAGTTTGCAAAGTTTTTTTATTTTAGTTTTTTTACTTCATTAAATGTCTTGGGAACATTTTTATCATCATCTAATACAACAATACATGCATCTCTATCAAGTTTATAATGAAATTAACTTCTTTCCACAAATCAAAAAATTTCTCAAGCTTATCCTAAATAAAATACCACTTTGCACACACAAAACCTAAATCTAAGCACTAAAGGAATCCTAAACTTCTAAAATAAGTCATTCAAATGCAAAAATACCACTAAAGGAAAGAAATTTAACACAAAAAATGACAAAATAAACTCCTAAAACATCCTTACCTCGCGGATTTGCCCGGATTCGCCGAGAGTCGCCGAGAGTCGCCGAAACCAGCTTTTTAGGGTAAGAAAAGGAGACTGCGCAGGTGATATAAGTGAAGGGTAAGTCGCCCGTTAAACGGGCGACTTACTTAAAATATAAGTCGCCCGTTAACCGGGCGACTTTGGCGAGTTTAAAATTTTTTTTTTCCGTTGGTTAATCGCTTAAGAAGCCTTTTACAGGGGTTTTTCACGTAAAAATCTTGGTGTCTCATAAATGCTAGACCCTCTCTCCTTATCTGATTGCGTACCGGATTTTCGTACAATGCTAAGACGTTAAATATGATATTTCTCTACCGCCGCGAATACTCCTGGACGCAACAGGTAGAGATCTCAATATTGAGTTTCTTAGAGGAAAATCCTTTACAAGTATTTTTATTCTATTTTAAAGTTTATATGACCAAGTCTTAGATGTCATAGATATATGTTATTTTCATAAAAAAATCATCTTCCATTTTTAATTTAGATTTTTTCTACCTTAAATATTTTAGTGTTTAATAATTTATTTTTTCAGGCAACTTTAGCTTGATAAATAAATTTTCTATAATTGTAGAATAAATATTCAAATTATTCTTAAAAATGATAATCTAATTATTTTAAAAAGAAATCCAAAAATATTATTCAAACAATTTTGAGATATATATTATATTTCTAAAAAAAAAAGGAATATTATAAATATTGTTGAATACCAAAAATTTATTATCAAATTCTAGCCTAAAAAGCTCCCATTGTTTTTCTCGTCCCCACCATCATAGCATGCTCTCTGTCATCAAGTCTTCACTAAGAACTAAGCATCAACAATGAAGAATAAATATATTCAATTACACGAAAATCAGCTATCCATCCATAATAACTTATAATTTTCAGCCAAATATGTTTCAAGAACTAGTAAATTAAATTTACTTTTTTATCCTTCCCCTTTTCTTTTAGCTTCGAAACTTGTTTGGTGCCGTTGCATTTTCAATGCCCTTCAATCTCTTGATCTTTGAACATAATTTAATTTATGTTCAAACTATACTTAAAGAGATGATCATACATAATTCAGAACATATTATTAAAATATGTGTGAACATTGTTTATATCTTATTTGAACCATGATTGAACATGATTTGAATAATGATGATTGATGGAATAACATGACTCAAATTCGGTACAAAAATATCTTCAAATATATTCCATTAGAACATATATTTTAACGACGATCAAAACAGACTCTTTGATATACTATCTACCAAGCTGTTAGAGCTAAGATTTCGTTTGTAACGACTATTTTACTGGTTCTTAAAATAACAATCTTATACCAAAATTTTAATATTTGTAATAAAAAATTACTTTAAAAAACAATAAAAAGCGATAATTTTCTTACTGTTTTTAAAATATTTTTTTAATATAAAAATTTAAAATTTAAAAATTAGTAAGAAAGTCCCAAAAAAAAAAAAAAAAAACCTAAGATTACCTAATCTAATCTATAATTCACAACTGATGCGTTTACCTAATTTGACATTATGAACCGATAGGTCAAATTTCATAATGTTTTTGGCTTCTCCTCGCGTGCACGTGCAATGAGAAGCGAGCGCCCCAAACATAATACAGCGTCCACGTGGCTTTGTCCAGCACTCCGATCGTCGCCACCTTGTCGCACACCCATACTTGCCACTGGATCACCGTCAAAACCACGGAGATGGCAGTTCCCGGCCACGGAAAACTGGAAAGCGACCCGTGGGGGCAAGTGGCTACAGCGATTGCCACACAATCTGCAGGCGGGTGACGGAATGAATTCGAAGAGCGCTCGCAATCTCGCGATTCAAGTGTTGACCTTTTTGGCTCTCAGTTGGGCGACGACATTGAATTCCCCGATCAGTTCCCAACTGAAAAATTTGCTTCCATGAACTGATTTAGGTTTGTGTCCATTGGCTCTGTCGAGAAGATTGCTTATTTTTTTTTTTCCGCTGAATGAATTTGAGCTGCAGTTAGATGTTTTTATATTGATTAAATGGGGTTGAGATTGGGAGCTTCGTATTTGAGGACCTGGTTTGCGTTTAGCATGGCATTTTTTTTTTTCATTCTAATCAAATTAAAAATCTTTTTGGTTGGGTCTGGATCAGTCTGCTCAATCGCTGGGTAACTTGGAGCACTTCTTGAGGATATTTGAGTGTCAACATTTCTGAATTTTTCAATGGGAATCGCTTTGGCTATGTGATGCCCATGAGTAAAGTTTATTTGTTCTTTATTGCATGGCTCTTGCAATTCCAAAGAACATTAGCATCCACGAATGAGGTACTAGATTTGTTAGATGGGTAACAGTCGAAACCTGATAGAGGGAGCCATAGGTAGCTTAAATTGGTTTATACTTGTGAAGCTGATAGGAAGAGTTGGAGTGTGGGATACAGACAGAGCGAAAGATGAAGGGAGTAGATGTGTACTGTTGTACGCAGTTTTTTTCATTAGTCATTAATGGTGTCCTTAGGATGAAGGAGGACAGAGAAAGGACAGACGAAGACAATTATGAATTTCACCTCTGAACATAGAACGAACCATGTAAATTTCTACTTGGCAAAAAGCATTAAACATTGTCTGCAGCAATGTTTGCATATATTGTGATTTTAAAGAAATATGCTTATTTTTGCTATTCATTTGGATAACTTGAATGTTGAAACGTGAGGTATGTTGGATCAGTTTTTTGAGGCAATCATTATATCACAGTTAGCCTCTCTTCTTTGTTACGGTTTGCTCTAAAAAATTTATAAGTTAGAATTATTATGCACATTAAAGATTTTAAAAATTTGAATTGATTGTTAAATGAAAATTTTAATGACATTTAGGCAACTTATAACTTGGTTATAATAGTTCATTAATTAATAACCCAAGTGCCATAAAATAGAACATAAGCGTTGACTATTTGTGGCACTTACTATTGCTCACATTTTTTGTTATGCTAAACAACATGGCGGTACCTCATCTTATAAATTAGAGAAAAAAGTATTTATTAATAACCTAAGTGCCATAAAAACGAACATAAACTTTGCCAATTTGTGTCACTAAATATTGCTCACATTGTTTGGTTATGCTAATCAACATGGTACCTCATCTAGGCATAAATTGGAAGATTGGTGGCTAGATGTTTAAAGACAATGATTTTTTTTTTTCTTGAATTTTAAATGTCTTTGTGTGTTACTAGTTGCATTTTGTGTGTGTTAGGCATGCAGGTTCTCCTGCTTTGGATATTGTTTTAACCTTTTTAGATTGGAAGTCAATTACTTATTTCGTCAAAACTAATTTTAGAAGAAATGAAACTATAAGACGAGTTTTCTATGTTTTAAAAGGAGGCAAATAAGCTTTCATGTTTTCGAGTTTCTTCATTCCCTCCTATTCTAATTGTTACCAAACATGCCATGGTATTTTCTTCTCAGATCATCTTCTTAGTGGTTTCAGCTACATAGATAAAGATGTCACAGGATGGATTTGATGGAGAGCTGGGCCATCTTCCTGATGGTTCTATCTTTGAGGCAGAAAAACCTTTGGTAAGTATTGCTGGTTCTTTATGGTTAGCAAGTGAGGACCTTTGGTCAAGAGGTCAGCTTACCATACAAATTGTTAAGTTTTGTAAATCAAGACGTTTAAAATCTTTTCCGTCAAAAGAAATCTGTTGTGATCTCCAGTCTTCTTATAAAAAATGGGGAAAAAAGAATACTGGTAATTTGAACTTGAAATAAACATATATTCATCTATAAATATGACAGTAAAATTGAGAAGCGACAAGATTATGCTGCTATTAAATAATATTAAATATTTAGCTAGATAGTTAAGAGTCCATGAAGTCACTTCTGAAGTTGTTTATTCACTTCTGAAGTTGTTTATTAAAAAACGTTATATAATGCAATCAAAACCTAATGATGACATAAAATGGTTATGCTGCTACTTTATGTACAACCTCTGGTATTATTTTGCTGCATAACTCTTTCTGGCCCTATTTTAGATTATATTTTACTTGTTCAGCTAGTTTTTATCACTTAACCTTATTCAGGTCAGTTTTCTCTCTGCAAATCCAATCATGCCATTCTCTTTGTGTGTTCTTATCATCTCTGCCTTCATGCCATTCTCTTTGTGTGTTCTTATCATCTCTGCCTTTACATGAATATAAAACACTACCATGGCAAATATTGGTGTTATAGTATTTGCAAGCTGGACTTGAGTTGCTACTTATTGCTTGGAGCTCTGTTAATTATTTTGACCAGCCCCTTTGAGGGTATAAGTAATTTCAAGCTATGATTATCAGCTTTACTCTAATAAACATGTTTGTGGATAAGCTTCATATAGGCAACTTTATTTACATATTGTTACAGGTTACGGCAGACCCTGCACAACCAGCTTTGCTAACATGGCAACGAAGTTTAAGAGACAATGAACAAGAGCCATCGGAGTTCCAGCTAACTGTTCGAGAGATACTACAATTGGTACCATTTAAACAATATTTTTTCCGGATAATTAAGATTTTCTTTTTTCCTATTTAGGAAAATATTGGTCATTTCCTTGGTATGCATCAGGATAATGATCAAAGTTCATTTAAAGTGGTTGCTGGCTTCCATATTTTTATAATGAAATCTACATAATAGATCTTGGCTAATTTATAGTTACCTTTAAGTGCTCATAACTCTCTGTTTATATTGAACTTTTTTTTTTTTTTCATTACTCTGTCATTTGACTCAATACAGGCTCATTTAGGAATTCGGCTTGGGCGGCATATTATAGAAGAAACTGCAAAAGGAAGGGTGCAGTATTTGTCACTTCTTCATACTTAATTATTTAATAATCAATTATATGTTGGATAGTTTAGACAAGATTTAGGCAGTTTAAATAGTTATATTCAATTTCATCATACCATTGTCTATTAATTTCATATAGGCCTCAATTATTGATCCTTTAAGAAGACGCATCGCTACATCATGTCATGGTGTTCCTTTAGGAGGAATTGGGTAGGCTAACATTCTCCTTTTTACATTTCTTTTCATCTTATTAGCTTGGATGCATTGATTTCAATAGTTGGAACTCTTAACTATATAATTTCTTTGAGAAATCATTGGGATAATTATTTTTGTGATGATAACATAAAGATATCTTGACATTTTTACTGTTATGAATCCTTTTCTGGCTCCACTTGTTCGGCCTTCTTATATTTGCTTGTAATTTTTCACGTCATGCTATTCTTGACTTGGAGGGAGGAAAGCATGGATTATGTATGCTATTAAAGACTGTTTCTTCTGAATAGATCAACAATAGGGTATATGTCATTAGTGAGGCCATGAAGTAACAGTTACACTATATTGTCATTCACCATACAATGCTTTTCTTTCTAAATGCCATTATTTTCTCATGGCCGGATTTGAAGTATAGCAGAGTGAATATTAATTTTGAGATCTGCCATTTTTTGAAAAACCACCAAATCTAGTTTCCATACATAGATGGTTTGAACACGGATAGGTAGAAAATGAGCCAATTAGATTAATAGATCAATAAGGTCTTAAAAGATTAGGATGAAAAAGTAGCATATATAAGATAATATGGATAAAAGTTCTTAAAAAAGTGAAGGTAGAAAATGAGCCAATTAGATCAATAAGGACTTGAAGGATTAGGATGCAAAAATAGCAGATCTATAAGATAACATGGATAAAAGTTGTTAAAAAACTGTCACGACTCGGCCTTGTCGGCTCCAATTAACGAGGCAAGAATAGATGGTTGAACGGTGATTTAAATTTTCAATCAATTTAAAATTATCTGTGGGCTCCGAAAATTCGGCCCCGGCCTCCCCGCTTTTCTTTTTATTCGGCGAGGGAGTTTTAACTGAATAAGTTCCGAGGTAAATTTTGGAAGGCAGATGGGTTTGTAGATAAGACACTACTCAGAGATTTTGCCCTCATATTGTGAGGACTTTATGATCTGAGTTCTGGTTTCCTATAGGCGCAAACCCCTATAGTTAATTACCCCTCCCGATCACGAGAGAGAACTTTCGATTAAGGCTAGTCGCCAATCTGATACGTATATAATACGTATTATCTGGCATATAGTAGCAGCAATGGGCATTTGATGTTAGATAATTGGAGAGTTTGGAAGATTTGATATTTAAAATAGGAAATTTCACCACATTGCACTTAAAGCGGATGGTGGGGGAATGGATGATAGAACCGATCAAGATCCCATGGTTCCGTCGTCCCGGTCCATCGTGGTCCCTGGTCTACTTAGTCAGAGGAGGTAGTTGACCCAACCTGACAGAAAGATCCTTGTCGGCAGCCATGGGTTGCTTCGTTCAAGGGTACCTTGTAGATCTGGGTTGGATATTTGTCTAAGGGGACAAATTTGAATCCTCTTTAGCTAACAGAGGGCTTTGTGCCCTATCAATCATATTCTATTGATTCATATCTCAAGGATTTGATGCCAATAAGGAACGTAACGATGCTGGCCATAACCGGTATTTCGTGGTGCCATTTGACGGCAAAACCACTTGGTTCAGAGGGCCCCGGGTCATAACCGTTTACCTGCAGTGCCTTTTGGCAGCAAAACTGTCGGTTAGAGAACACGTACCATGTCCTTACTTGCAGGAGATTGTTTGAGAATAGATTCTAGTGATATTTTCGACTAGACATTTAGCTCTTTGTGAGTTGAAGTAATTTTTAATTTGTCCACCTCGGCAAACTGTTGCAAAGGATGGATGGATTTTGCTTTAAGTGTTGATGGATTTATTTCAATTTTAAATATCTTGGAGATTTTGGGATTTTGAAATATTTGGGTGTTTGGAGTGGCATTTTGAAATATTTGTGAATGGACTTTCGATATTTTGGAGGCATTTGAAATTATTTGTGAACCCCTCCGGTTGAGATAAACATTCAACACGACCATTATTGGGGTGTTTGGGGTTATTTTTATTTAAAGCTTGAACCTTGTCGACCACTTGTTGATAGGGGATCGGGTTTCGTAGGCTTTATGTCTTTGTTAGTAAATTCTCTCGATTATAGGCCTTGAAGGCCTAATATGAATGCATTAAAACAAATACCCCGGTCGTCACAACCGTGTATTTGTTTGAAGGTTCGAACCCTGTCGACTCCTATTGATCCGTATAGAAGGATCGGGTTCGAACAATAATCCACTTATTGGCCCGCGCAGCATCCCTTGACTAGGGCTGTCAATTCGGGTCAACCCGCCGGGTTCGGGTCGAACCCGACTCGACCCGTATATAAATGGGTCAACCCGAACCCGACCTGTTTTTACAAACGGGTCGGACATTTCAACCCGGACCCGACCCGGCCGGGTTGCAGCGTTCTTCCAATCTCTCTCTTTTTTTTTTCAAATTTGGCAAACGTGCTCTCAAAATTGATCCCACCTTGAAGGGACGGCTGTGCAGAAACTTGATAAAGTTCCAACAACTAGTGTTGATACTTTCCTTCATCTTGTAAAACACGCAAAGCAGGACTGCAGGAGAGTCAGAAGCAGCAGCTTGAGCTGCACGGAGCACGTGAAACAGATCCTTGCCTAAAAGGCTAAAAATGATCTCATTGGGCGGAGCAAGGATATGGAGTGGCTGAGGAATCCATCAAATGAGCATCGGGGAACTCATTTGTACAGAAACATTTCTTTATTTTTTTAAATTAAATGGGTTTTCGGGTTGACCCGGTAACCCGCCGGGTCAACCCGACCCGACCCGTTTTATCAAACGAGTCAAATCTGTGAACCCGAACCCGACCCGTTTATCAAACGGGTCGGGTCCAACCTGGATTTTCCAGGTCGGGTTGTCGTGTCGTGTCAAATATTGACACCCCTACCCTAGACGTCACGTGTGTGCCAATAACACGCTCGTCGGGGCCCATGCGGGTGTTTGGGGACATTTTATAATTGAATCCTGTCTACTCTTTTTTATCTGCTTAGGAGGATCGAGTTCAAATTTAATAACCTGCGTAACATCCCTAAACGTCACGTGTGTAACAATAACACGCTCGCCGGGCCCATGCGGATTTTATAATCATTTTTACCCTTTTTAGTGTACCTATGTGTATACAAACTACAGTGCACGTTTGGGGGTACTTTGAAGGTATTTGTAGACGCCTTCTGTCCGCTTGCATAGAAGTTGCGGATCCGGTGGCGTGGTGTAGCAGCTTCTGAATAGAGTTGTTCGCTGCTTCATACAGGTAGATTGTTGTGCACTACTTGTTGCTTTCTGCAAGTGGATCATAGTGTACTAACGAATCTCCTGCTTTGGATCGTAGGAGCTTTCACTTGTCGTATTCTTCATACATTTTGTTGTGGTCTTTGGTCTTTTCAGTGCATCCGCTACTGCTGCATGTAGGTAGGTAGATGTCTTCTTTCACACACTGAAATTGATTTCAGGATACTGCATTTACTGAAGTCTTTCTACATCTACCCGGCCATAAATGGCATGTTATACATACATCCGTATTCGTAGAAAGATTGTATGTATTGCAGATCTTCTGATGTTATAGAAGGGCCTTCGCATTTATCACAATTCTTCTATATTTTGTATATGAAGGATCTTCTACAACATCTTGAAGGAGTTTCCATTTGTTGTACTTATTCATCCATATTTGTAGGCGGGATATTGGGTGTATAACAAACTTCCTACAGTAATTCATAGGCACTTGCATTTGTTGAATTCCACCTGGCTTTGCTTGCATGGTCAACATAAATTTGCACACCAACTATCATCATTGGTAGGAAATTTAACTGCCAGGGATTTTGTATAATTCGTTTGCAACCAAACTATACATTCCTTCTAATTTTCTTTGCTTGTTGAGTTCAACTTATCTGTTTGTAATAGATTCATAGTTCTCACTTACATTTGAACTGCAAGGTATTACTACCTCCACTTTGGTGAGTCGTAATCTCTTGTAGGTGATAGAAGCATTCGTTCTTCCCTTTGTTATAGTGGACTATATGAATACCCTGACACTTGTTGCATGCTTCTTGTAGATCTGTTCAAGCCAATCAATTTTGCATGAACCTTTACTATCATTTGTGAGTGAATGATTCTACGACCTACATTGTCTTTGAACACAACTTTTAGTCTACAAGGGACTTACATGTGGATGACAATCTCAACATACCTTTTGCATCAATTGTTTGACATTGTGTTTCAACACAAGTTTCCTATTCATATGAATGGATGATATCTTATATATGAATTGATTCATTAATCTCACATAATCAATTATGAAAGAAATGTCTCACATATGAATTACAATATTCATTAAAGTAGCCTTGTGTATCTATTTGTAATTTAGATTACACATTCTTATCAACCAAAGGTGGCATTTGAGTCCATATCCAAGTTCAAGCTTCTTTATACTCGTTTGAACTTGAGTCCACAAGTCTTCTATTTATCCCCGCGTTAGTGCATTCTCCGTGTAAACCAAACCCACTCAAAACTGAGTGAAAAAGGAAATCTGCGGATGCAAGGGTAGGAAGTGTGTGCAGGAATCGCAGAAGATCAATGAACGGGAGGACGGATGGTGCAAGTTCATGCGTGGGAAGAGCTGCGAGAGGTGCGGCGTCGGGACACGTTCGCATGAGACAGGCAGAGGCGGGACGAGAGCCGTTCGTGCTTGGAGCAGGCGGAGGCGTTTGTTCGCTCCTATGTGCGGGGGTCGTTCATTCGCTCGCATGTGCGGGAGCCAGACGTAACAGCCTCCCGACGCAAGACCTCCTTAGTGACGAGAGCACAAGAGCTTCGACACCGTCGGGTCGGACATGAGGTTAGCGCTAAGGAGTCCTCCGCTTATGCCTCCACCGAGTTCCTCCACTAAAGGCTAGTGTCGGGTTGGACAACGACGCAGGAGAGCATATGTAGTATGTGAGGATCATTCACATGTGGTCGTTCCCATTGCTTCAAGGTATGTCTTTTCACTTCTGGTTGATTTGGCCACTCCGTGCAGGAACCTAGAGCCGCAGGATAGCTGGACCATCTTGTGCGAGAACCTAGAGCTGCAAGGTGTGTCATCTATTGGGGGCAATGGGTTGATTTTACTTTACTCTGTATACACCCAACCAAATAGAAAAAACAGTCCCCTCGCATTTACTTTATATAGAATTAAACAACCTTAAAATATTTACTTTCCACTGCATTTATTTTACAACCAACCAAATAGCCACTTATGCAAAATAGGTGTTTTGCAGAATAAATGAAAAATGATGATTAATAAAATCAAAATACCTGCACTAAGGATAATGATGATGTTGTTTATAGCCTCTTTTTTTTTTTTAAAACACCGATGGCATACACTATTCTCTCAACTCCTTTTTGTAAAAGCAGTAATGATATCACTGATATTGACTTTAATGCTTATCCGTTCTTTTAATTGCAAGCTTCAACTCTCAGTGCAGGTAGTATAGGAAGAAGCTACAAAGGTGATTTTCAGCGTTGGCAATTGTTCCCTGGAGTTTGTGAAGCTAAGCCTGTCTTAGCAAATCAATTTTCTGTGAGTTCAGCTCGTTGAAAAAAAAATGTCTGCTGATGAAGCTCTTTTAAATTTTCATTTTTTTTTTCAGTTGTTGTTTTGGTATTGTGTTTCAAACAATATTATTCTAGAAGGGATAAAATTAATATGAATTTATTATTTGAGTAATATTTGTGCATTTCTTTTATTGTTATTCTCTTTGTATGACATGACCATGTATCTTATCAATAAGCCTGTTGTTACATAGAAATCAAAATGACAAATTTTCATCTTTTCTTTGGAGTCTTTTGAGTAATTTTTGTGGTTATTCAAATTAGCGAAACAATCCCTTTCCTCACCTGTGTAATGCATCATTATATCGGTGCCAATTTCAGGTTTGCTTGTTATGCCCATGTTTTATCAGTGTTAAATTGCCAAATTTTATTCATATCTGGCAAAAACGGAAATCAGCTATTAAATTCTTATCACTTTCGGGTTAGACCTCTTGTGTTTTGACTTGTTTTCTCTCCAACAAATTTGTCTGAATTATTTTCCTTATGTACAACCAAAATAAACTGATACGCCTTAATCCTCATGATTCTTACAAATAAATTTTCTTTACAAACTGATATTATATATTGCTGATAAATTCTATAGGCTTTCATTTCGCGCCAAGATGGAAATAGGTACTCCACTGTTTTGTCCCTGGGCGGTCCTGACATACTCAAGTAAGTGAAACAAACAGCTAAGGTATTCCAATTACTTGCCTTGTAGTTGTAATCTGTTGTATTTAGCTGGACTTTTTTTTGGTTCTGCAATGTTTTGTTTGCTAACATTATATAATCGATTATCATAGTATTTATTATCTTAAACCGTTGTTATACAGATCAAGTTCACAGTCGGGAATCGGATCTTGGGATTGGAATCTCAATGGGCAGAAATCTACCTATCATGCTCTATACCCGAGGTCTTGGACAATATATGATGGTAATGCCAATACATAGTGATATTTTCCCCTCATATTCTTCAGTGATGAATTGTGGGTGATGGTCCTGTCCATGCAGGTGAACCTGATCCAGATCTAAAAATAACTTGTCGTCAGATTTCACCCTTTATTCCCCACAATTATCAACAAAGTAGCCTACCCGTGGCGGTATTTACGTTCACGGTAGTTACTTATGTTGCCTTTATAGTATACTAAAATAAGATGGACTTCCCTTAAGTGGCAATTTCTGAAATTTTCAGCTCAACAATATGGGAAAATCTGCTGCTAAAGTTACTTTGCTTTTTACATGGGCTGTAAGTTCACATGCTAAAATTGTTTCTCCGTAGAAGTATTCAGTTTGTTCCTTTGGTGTTTAATCCTTCGTATGTGCTGATTATTATTATCATTTTGCTATCTCAATCATTTTGGTTGCATAATTTTTATGGAAAGGTGGAAACTTCATATATCTTGATTTAACCAGAATTCTGTAGGTGGGAACTCCGAGTTCTCTGGGTATCACTCTAATTCGAAAATGATGTAAGAACCTGATATAATAGAATTTTTAAGCTAAACCATTATCAAAACTAACTTGATCTGGGAATTTTCTGCAATTCATAATTGTTATATTGTAATTTTAACTTTATAATCATTTTCAAATTGAGTTTATACTGACTTGCATTTTTTATACATTTCAGTGAGAAAGATGGGGTACATGGGGTCCTCCTACATCACAAGTAAGTTAAAAAACTGTGTTCAACAATATTAATATGATTATTTTTATCGTTATCTCATAAAGAAATTGGTCCACCATTTGTCCATTTTATTCGTTGTTGGAATGCTGGTGTAGGAGGAATACTATACATAAAATTTACGTAGTTGCAATAAAATATCACGTTCATGTCTCTAGTTTACCTTTGTTTTATTTTGCTACTTGAAAAAATCTTATATATGAATGCAGAACAATAAACGGGCAATCTCCAGTGACATTTGCAATAGCAGCACAAGAAACAGCAGATGTTCATGTCTCCGACTGTCCGCACTTTGTGATATCGGGGAAATCTGATTCTTTCACTGCAAGAGAAATGTGGCATGCAATCAGAGAGGTCTGTTTATCAAATAATTTTTTTCATTCTCCTCTTTGGGATAAATACTTAATTAGATCATGAGTGAATGAAATGTGATACACAAGCCTTTGCTTCAGTAGCAATGTTCATAATTTGGGTGATTTCAGTTTTTTCTTGTTAAGACAATCATTCTGCTCACAATCATTACATTTCTTTTTTCCTTTGTTTTCAATTTTTAATATTTATCAAAGCTTTTAAAAATCGGGTCTCACATCAAATCGAAAAATTGAGAGGTTCAAGATTCAATTGTTTGATTGAGGTTGAACCGGATGATGTAATAAATATTATAATTATTTAAGCAAAAAATAAATGATATAATAATCATACAATTATATAAATTTGCGACTAAAGATAAATTTAGTTCACATAAACTTATAACTTTAATATAAATTATTACTAATTTATGTTAATTTTAATATAAATAATCATAAATTATTGTAAATATATGCTATGTATTTAAATAAATTTAAAGTCATAAATCATATACTAAATTCACATTATAATATTGCATATATAAATCATTCATGTTAATTTATTTATAATTAATAAATATATAAAATTAATTTTTAATAATATATATTTAAAAATAAAGAATAAAATAGGTAAATAATTAAATATAATTAACCAACAAAATAATTACGGTAGAATCTATGAAAAATAACTAAAAATATTCCTATTTTAAGATTTGATCTTCATATGCAAATCCGATGACTCAATGGTAGAACCTATTTATTGCACAACTCAAATGAAACTATTAGATTGAATTCCTTATCATATTTATGACCATTAAAATCTAACTTGAAGCAGGGCTTATGGGGTCAACACCCCCCATTAGAGATATTTGCTTCCCAGTGTAAGTGGGCTGCTCCAAAGAGATAACAAAAGAATCTATGTTGACCCTACACTATTTTAGGACACACTTAGCCCATTGACTTCTTATTGTCAGATGTTGGAAACAAATTCTGTTGGTAGATTGATTGTTTCCATGGAATCCAAGTGGGTTTCCTCAACAAAGAACCACTTGGCATAGAGGAGAAGCCTGGTCGGAATGAATTGCCAAGGGGGTGACTTCCCAGGAAGGAAGGAAATCAGCTAGTGGCTAACCTGAAGAATTTGTTGAGAAGGGAGACCTCATGGGATAGGTTTGGACTGGGCATTGAAAGAGGAGATGTCATAGGGGAATTTACCAAAGGAGAGAATTCTCAAGAAAATTCAATGACTATAGGTGACCTCTTGAGACAAGGGGATGTCGATTAATGGTTGCCCTGACAAAGGTCATCTAGAAAAAAGAGTTTTTGGGTCAACTCACCGAGGAGGAGTCTTTTTGGGACATTTACTGACTAGACTTGGAGAAGAGAGACATCTTTGCAAGTCGTTGAGAAGGGTGACTTCTTTAGATGGCAAGATGTCGGCTAAGGCTGGCTAGAATGACTGAGGTCAGCTTAGGAGAGTCGCCGAGTGCCAAGAAGGATAGATTTATGAGAGTTAAATCATTGATAGATATGATTTCTTGGAGAGGGATGTTGACCAATTGTCTGTCATAATATATCGCCAACAAGAGGTGACTTCCTGGGATGAGATGTCTAGGAGAGAGTTTTACAGGATAAGCTATCGACAGGTGTTGAGAAGGGTAGGGTTCTTGGGAGATTGCCAAAATTGTGCTGAGAGGCCAAGAGTTCGTTTTGGTGTCTAGGTGAAGTTGGGAGGTCTGACTTGGTAGAATTTCAGGTGGGTGTCTTTAGTTGATCCCAAGAAGATCTTGGCTCTAGAGAGAACCATCTAGGATGGATCCCCTGTGATATTTAATGAGAGTCAGGATTTTGATTAAGGACTTCAAAAGTTCAATGTGAGGTCAATAGAAGCATGCATTTCAGTTCTCTTTTGTGTGTAAGATTCAGTTATAAATTTCATATAATTTTTTTGGGCTTGTTGCTCATCCTATTATATTTTGACGTTTATTTGATTTTAGGGAGCATAAGGAACTGAAGGAGTAGGACTAATCTTTTATTGTTTACCAATTGGATGTCCGTATTTTAAATATATAATGACATCTTTTGTAGATCTTTTTGATGGTTTACAAATGATTCTTTTGATTGAATAATACAATCAAGATATTAGAAGTATAAGCTTCCTTTTATATCCTATAATGGCTATTAGTGACTCTCTCGAAAATCTAAGAAGGGTTGTCAAATCTTTCAAAAAGATTTTGGTTATTTGAGGTGCGCTCTTATACGGTATACTAGGAGTTCTATAGTATCAACCAAAGTGAATTGAGGTAATCCTCATCTACGGAAATTTAGCTCACCCGTGTATTGAACCTATTTGGTTGGAGTGTGACATCACACCTTATAAATATACCCCTAATCCTTTTCTAGTTACTCATCTCTATGGGGCACTGTTTGTAACACCCCACAATACCCTTGACTAGTACTGTAGAGTGTAACAGTTAAAACATATCATTTTCTTTCCATAAAGTTTTTGGAAACAGATAACCACTTGCATAATTATACGAAGTATCTCATAAACCTTCATGAATACATTAACTAAAGTACTTAACATTTTTAAACATCCACAACCTAGTTATAGAGCCACTAAAGAACATCCAAACAAAATTTTTCAATTGAGTGTTTACATACCCTTAGCTAATCCTTACAAACATATATAGAAATAACATATAACATTGAGGTACTTGAAATCTAATCAGCAGCAACGTTATCTTTTTCTTTACCTGTAGAACAGCCAGAAGAAAGTTCTGGTGAGCTATGAGGCTCACATAAGCTATGCAAACTTAAATAACAATAAAAATGAATTGATAAAATGAAATACAATACTGAGCTAATCATTTCACCAACTTATCATTATTTGAAAAGCATCAAAACATCATATTGAACATCATCTTTTATGTCATTAGAGATATATATTGAATATTTAATCTTTTAAAAGATTTGGCTATACTTTAACATTTTCAATGGAGCCCAGATAAATCTGGCATTATCACCATTGAATTTCATAGAGGTCCCTTTTGCCTCTTTAGGGGTCCCTTTTGCCCCACCTGCTATGCAGGTATCCATTTCCTTGGGGTCCCTTTCCTCCTCTCCATAATAACTCTTAAGGATGTGTTATCTCTCGTCATCTGCATGGTAGCTAAGTGCTTTCTATCTATACTTATATCATCTCAATTTTTCTTGTTTTTTTTTTCTTTGCTGATTGCTAGTACTAATGTAAATTAAAATGTTTCTTTGATGGTGGTACATCACTTCACTGTTTGCAGTTTTCTTCTTAATTCATTCCTCGGTAAACTATTTTTAGAATGCCCGTAATATCAATTGATATTAAAACTTCTCACATTTTGTCAACCTTGGCTTCAGTGCAATACTATTAATTCATCAGCTGAAATTCATGAATGTTGTACCATAATGCTTGTCCCTTTGGATATGTACCTTTAATAGCACGGTTTTATGTTTTAGTGGTTTCGATTTGGTTTTGTTTTGGTTTTGTTGGTTTTGGAATGGCTTCGGTTGAAAATGATTCGATGCTTGTTAATATTTTTTATTTTGACTTGTTATGGAATTTTCGATTAAGTTTTGAATGAAACTCAAGGGTTTCACCTATTAAATTTCATTTGTTGCAATTTGAATCCCATTTAGATAAATTCTTTTAGTTTTACACCTTTAATATAACTTTTATGATATTTCATAATTACAAAGCAACAAAACTGTAGCTAATATTAATTCCCAAAACTGATGGAACATTTGAAACTTCAGAAACAAAGTATTTCATGATGGGGCTGAATTTAAAACTAAAATCAAGTTAAAAACTTGCATTATGTTAATCTTTTTTAAACATCTTTATTCTTATTTCAAATTAGTAATTCGATAGTTCATAATTTTGCATTGCATATGCTCTGGAAAGTGCGAGTGAAATATAATTAATAGAAAATTATCATATTTTATTATCCAAATTTCTAGTTTTTTAAGACTTCATAAATAACTTTTTATATCTTTCTCTTACCAGCATGGGACCTTTGACCACATTGGTTCCACAGAAAATCCAATTTATTCAGAACCAGGTTCATCTATTGGAGCAGCTGTATCAGCGTCATCGACGGTTCCTCCTAGAGCTGTCCGCACTGTCACATTTGCTTTGGCATGGGCATGCCCAGAAATAAATTTTCCCAGTGGAAAATCTTATCATCGGTGAGTGGATTTGCCTCAACGCCAAATTTCAGTAGAAACTAAACGTTTTCCTATCATAACATTTTGTTTGTATTACAGACGTTATACCAAATTTTATGGCACTGATGGAGGTGCAGCTGCACGTCTAGTTCATGATGCTATCATGGGTAACTACAGATCTATAACGCAAGCTTCATATGTTCATTTAGTTAAGATAATTTTTTTCTGACAATTCTGTTAGTGTTCTAAATTTGATTATTGATATTTGTTGTTCTTTATTTTTAACAACACATCAAACCTTTATCCCACTGTGGGAACGGCTATATAAATCCTTTTTTCTCCATTTTGTCGTATTAAAAGTCAAATTCTTGTTTAAATCTAATAGAGAAACATCATTTCTAATATTTTCTAACCAAATCTTTTTAGGTCCGCCTCTACCTTTCTTAACATAAGTCAAATCTAATACCTCTACTTTCCTAATTGGGTCATTGGAAGGCCGCCATTTTATGTGACCAAACCATCTAAGACGACTCTCTCTCATTTTATTTCTACTGGAGCTACTCCAACCTTTTCATAGCATGAAATGGTTGAGGATATAGAACATATGGACTTGTAGATGGCATCCACCTATGTACAAATATGAGTTGTTCTTACATTCTGCATGGTTGTCGCAATGAAATGGTTCTGCGAATTCTGCATGGTTGTAGCAATGAAATGCTTAGGCGCACATCTAGTGTGGGCTTGCTATAGGTTTTTTCCTGTTCCCAGATTAAATGTTCTCCATAAATGGATGCCATATTTCCAGTAGGAATGTTGTGTACTTCCAAAAGTAAAAGAAGTAAATGCTTAGAAAAAGCGGGGAGAAATATGTAGTGTATGCTTCAAAGCCTTAGGTGAAGGATCTGGAGCTAGAAAGCAATCTCACTCATGGAGGCGATTACCATATTCGAGAACTAGAAAGCTCTCTATTGCTACAAACAAGCGCCGCCGAAAACTCCTAGTTTATACCAATTAGCGGACAAGCGAGGTGCCAAGGTGAGCCTGCTGGAGCATCATCAGAAGAATCAAAATTTTCTATGTAGGTTCATGAAGTCAGTTGAGGTCACTAAAGAAATTTCAAATATAAGAACAATTTGAAATTAAAGAGGGAAGCCTTGATCTAGAAGGATTTGGACATTCATTATCTTCAAAGATGATGTTTATTACATTTGTATACCAATATAAAAGGCACGAGAGAAATAATCAGCCACCTTTTCTCTCTGCTAATATTCTATATGAAGAATGTTCCCAAGCATTAAAATCCATTTATTTGGATTATTCAAAAGGAGAAGTGGATAAGAATGAGTTCAGATTTCAAGAAAAAATTAGTGAATTGGTTTAAAATTAAATAACTTCAACTATGAGAATTGGATAAGAATGAGTTCAGCTTTAAGTTGGTTAACTATCACTTTCAGGCATACCAATGATTTCTTCCTAATTGCAAGGATGATATCTTTCTAATGTCATGACCCAGCCTGATAAGCTCGAGTAAACGAGGAGAGAACGGATGTCGGACGAAAATTAAAATCTAATTCCGATATCATCACGTAAATATTAACATATCTAACATCCAAACAATTATAAAGAGCCACTAAAACTTCCACAACACAAAAGATTTTATTTCATCATATAAAATTACACAAGTGGATCATAAACTAAACATTTGAGATCCACTTCAAAATGTGACATAAAAATAAATACAACAAAAGAACCTGTCTCCCGTGGTAACCCTATGCTGGTAGGTATACTGCTACATATCTGCCATCCTTAAACAGTGGTTCTCCTGAAAACATCCCAAAGGGAGTGAACTAACACTCAACAGGTAACAAGTAATTCTACCAAACTCAATTACAATGTAACAATGTTGTTGACCTCTACCAGTAAATCCCACGAATCCGGCTGAAATGGCGCATACCTCGGACTGTCGAATCCGCGATATCTGCCTGAAATCTCGCCGAAAAGTACTGTACATGCAGCGCCGTTTACGTCGATTCCCGAAAATCCTTCGCAGGCCTCGATCCTTGCCTTCTCCGCGTCTATAAAACGAAAGGGAGCTCTCACACACGACATTTCTAAAATCCATCGCAAGCCTCTCTTCGACTCTCGACTCCCTCCTCAATCCCGCTCTCACTCTCTCCCGTCCCCTTTCGCTGCTCCGACGACGTTCCTTTATTGAAGGATCGGAAGTTACGATATTGAAGGATTGGAAGTTACGATAGTTTGATCGGGAGCTGCAACGAGAGCTCGCGGCTGTGAAGACGACTCTCTCCCTTCGCACGCTTCTCGGCTAGATCCCGATCTCCAAGTGCCGAGCTCCTTCCCCCCATCTTCGACGTCCCTTCCATGTCGGATCGAAGGCTCCGACCTTCCGATCGGAACCAGCGACAGGAGTCGCTCACTGTGAGGGGCTGTTCGACTTTGCTCCTCCGACTTTTTTTCCCTTCTTGTGTGATCGGAGAAACGACGGGAGCTCGCCTGTGAAGGTAACTTTCTCCCCTCTCACGCGCTGCCATGGCCAAATCCCGTAAACCTCCCGAACAGAGAGAGAGAGAGAGGGAGGAGAAGAGGTTAATTAGTTTTAATTAAAGTTAATATAATTGATTTTAATTAAAACTAATATTAATTAGTTTTAATTAAAATTAATGTTTATTAATTTTAATTAATTTTATTAATTATAATTATTTAGAGTTAATGTTAAATTAATTTTAATTAAAAATTATTTTTAATTAATTATAATTTTACAATGTTAATGTGAAAATCCTTTTAAAATTAGGATTTGAATGAGAAACATTTAGTAAGTATAATGTTATATATATATATATATATATATATATATATATATATAAAATAATAATAAAGAAAAAATATATATAAAGATTTTCAAGCAAGTGTCGAAGACCCCGAGCCCTAAGTATAAGTTTGACACTAAAACATGCTCCTAAAACTAAGGCTAAAAAAACTCTCCAAAATATTAACAAACTCCAAAACTCCTGTCCGAGCTCTCCAATGCTCCAAGCAAGCTGCTACAGGTACAAAGCTCCAAATACCTGCAAGTAAGAAATAAAGTTGATTAGTACTTAATTTAAACGATTGAAACAAAGAAAAAGCAGAGTACTGAAACAACTGCTAAAACAAGAAAAGTCTAAGTGTTGAGCTAAACTAAAATACTGAAAGAAAAGTAGGGTATTGAAAGAAAAGTAGGGTACTGGAAGAAAAGCAGGTATTGAAAGAAATATGATAGGAAACATTTGAAGATTTGAAGTAAATCCTATCAATTTCAGAAAATCAGCGAGAAACTCTTCCAAACTCCAAAATAAAACTAGAAAAACAGTAATTTTATTGCATGAATCAAATAGATCGGAAGAAAACAACAAGATAAAAGTGATTCTCTATTCGAGAGGAGGATCGATCTCTCCAAATCTCTAGACGAATCTAGAGCCCAAAACCTAAACCTAAGAGATCCCAAAATCAGCCAAATTTTGCCCTAACCCTTGGAAAACAAAATATTTAATGCATACAAATCAAAATGAAATACTTATGGGAAGTTCCTCTAGCTATCTATATTCGCTAAGAATTTTTCCATAATTTTTGGAGGTTTTCTTAATAATAAGCTACGTTTTCATCATTAAATAATTAAAAAATAACATAAATTTTAGATTAATTCAAAATAATTATAAATTTTTATCCGATGTTCTTGAAGTTATCCCTAACTTTAGAGAATCATTTTATAATTTTTTAACATCATTTAAATCTAAAAAAAATAACAAACTCTTGAGTTAATGATAAGATAAAATAATCTAAAAATTAGAAAATTCAATAATAATTCAAGAAAAATCAAAGTAATACCAAATAAATTTTTTATGAACTCACAAAATTATAGGAAGTAATAAACCAAATAATTTTTAAGCTCGTCAACTTTAAAATGAAATTTGCTCTCATAAACCCCTAAATAAAATCCTTAATAATAAAATATCATAAACATATTTAATTGCCTCTGAGACACTCTAAAGTTTCATCTCATCGCTTGGGTGAGTTTTATACCTTGTTATATTTAGGATACTTTAAATAAGAAGGTCCACCTTAGGGTAAATGATATGCATTTGATGTACTTTTTAAAATCTTAAAATAAAAATGAAATTTAAACCCTTAAAAGTTAAATAAAAAGATTTTAAACCATTAAGAACTCAAATTTAAATCACCTCAGGATCATTTGATAAATTTAAAATTAAAAAATGAAATGTCAAACAAATAATAAAATGGTACTCTCACAGATTAGCATACACTAGGTGATGGATAGGATACCAGTTTTAGATTTTTAGGGTAGGTTGTTTTTTTGTTTCATTTTTTTCTGATGTTTTGTTACATACTATTTTATATTTTATTGCATCAGAATATTCTAATTCAATAATTCGAAATTTGAATAAAAAAAATACAATTTGATTGCAAAATTTGATCCGAAACTGAAATTTGAACTTAATTGTAAAACCTGACCAAAAATCAAAATTGGATCATCATTTAAAACTTGATTAACAACCAAAATCACAACTTGATTTATAACCAAAGTCAGAACTAGTATGCCACACAGAACATGCATGCTTGATTTTAGGAAAGCCTGTGTTTTTTTTTTTTTTTTGTTATGATAGATTTTTTCTGAATAAACTTTTCTATAAAATAAAGAATAAAATCAAATCAAATAGAAACTACATCAAAGAATTCAAAAAATAAAAAATAAAAAGAGAGAAAAAGCTCCTAAGGACTTGCATCTATTTTTATGGTCGTGCTGTTTGACTTGTTAAGTTGTAAGTCTCATTTTTAAAATAAAAACAACCTAGCTTATCTTTATTGCATCAAGATTTTGATATCAAGGTTTTGAAGTGACTAGGTAGGTTTAGCTGATAGTCATCCCATGCAGGATTGTAAGTCCGATAAAATTGAGCTTGCTTAAACCCTTGATATAGTTGAAAGTTGGAAGTTCCTTGCATTTCATTTGACTTAGGTTTGAGCTACTACTTGTATAGTACTTTTTATCTTAGTTTTAGGATCCAAAGTTGATAGTTTCTCATTTGCTTCTTAATAAGTTCTCACACCTGGATCTTTTCTCATTCATATTGATGAAATGCAAACCCCAAAATTTTAATAAAAAGAACTACTCAAATAATAAATTTAAACTTTAAAATTTTAAAGTCTAATATAGGATAATTTGGAGTATTTATGGGCTTCTCATAATCCAATGTCTATTTCAATTTTGAACTAATACCATTTAAAATTTTAAAAGAATATCCTTCTTCAAACTTTGAAATCATAGAAATATTTTCACTAGTATTCTTAGAAGATCATTTCTCTTGGATATAGTTAACCATAAGAGCTTGCTTTTATTGGAAGAAAATACCACCATAATAAAAGAAATACTATCCTACTTAAATTAGGTAGGAGAAAGTTTATAGAAACATAAATATTTTTAAAAGAAAATTTTATTTTTGTTTTCAAATCCATTGTAGAAATAGTTCTTGCCCTTCTGATAACTAATGATAGCCTTTGTTAGCACTCTGATTATTAATGCCAGTATAATTGTCTTCTTTAACTTGGGGGAAATTATCAAATGTAATTGTCTAACCCCCAGAATTTCATGTTTGTCTTACTTTGTTTCATAAGCATTCTTTAATAACCTGTTAAGTCCTTGTCTTCATTTCACTAGACCACAGGTTTTGGGAATCCCAAATCGATGAATGGCAAAGACCTATTCTGCAAAATAATGAACTTCCAGAATGGTATAAATTGTAATTTTGTTGTTGGAATTGGCCACAGTTTCTTTTACCAGAATGCTTTAAAGTTTCTCAAATTTCTTTTTTCAGGTATCCTATCACACTCTTCAATGAGCTATACTATCTTAATGCTGGAGGAACCATTTGGATAGGTATTAAGAATATTTTGTGCAAGATCAATGATTATGGTTTTCCTAAGATGCAAACTGAACACGTCCTGTTACAGATGGGTTGCCACCTGTGCAGAGCTTAGCAACAATTGAGGAAAGAAAGTTTTCTCTTGATATATCAAATCCAGTTGTTGAAACTTTAAGAAAGCCTATCCCTCAAAATAACACTTCACTTGATATCCTTGATAGGATGGCATCTACACTTGAAAAAATTAATACCCCTATTGCCTCAAATTCTGCTTTTGGTACATCATTGCTCCAAGGAGAAGAGAATATTGGCCAGTTACTCTATCTTGAAGGCATTGAATATTATATGTGGAACACATATGACGTGCATTTCTACTCATCTTTTGCGCTTATCATGCTTTTTCCGAAGCTTGAGCTCAGCATTCAAAGAGACTTTGCTGCTGCTGTGACAATGCATGACCCTGAGAAAATAAAGATGATGTATGATGGCAAGTGGGTTTCAAGGAAGGTTCTTGGTGCAGTTCCTCATGATCTTGGATTGTGCGACCCTTGGTTCAAAGTTAATGCTTATATTCTTCATGATACAAATAGGTGGAAGGACTTGAATCCTAAATTTGTTCTACAAGTTTATAGAGATACAATTGTCACAGGTGACAAGTCCTTTGCACGAGCGGTTTGGCCTTCAGTATATATTGCAATGGCTTATATGGATCAATTTGATAAGGATGGAGATGAAATGATTGAGAATGAGGGCTTCCCTGATCAGACCTATGATGTTTGGTCAGTTAATGGTGTTAGTGCATATAGTGGGGGTTTATGGGTGGCTGCCCTGCAGGCTGCTTCTGCCATGGCACATGAAATTGGTGATAAAGCTGCAGAGCAATTATTCTGGAATAAGTTTCAGAAGGCTAAGACTGTCTACGAGAAGCTTTGGAATGGTTCCTACTTCAATTATGATAGTAGTGGTGGCAAGATAAGCTCATCAATTCAGGCAGATCAACTGGCTGGACAATGGTATTTTAGAAAACTTTGTTTTTTTCTACTTTTTTCTGAGATACTTAAAAGATAAATTTCAGATCTATCTTTCCGGATGAATAAGTTTAGGAGTTAACTCGCACTGTCTTCAATCTTGGAATTTAACTTGCCGTATTATCTCTACTATTTCATACTTTTTTTTAATCTTGTGTTTGTTACTGAAGCTCGAGTCTTTTAATCCTAGCTAGATGGTAAGATCCCGTAAATAAAGCAATCTAACAATAAATCATGCTATCTCCATTAAAAATAGTTCTTTTATATGGCTTCCATGCATAAACTCAAGTAATTGCTCATTTTCAGGTACTCCAGAGCATGTGGTTTATCTCCAATAGTTGATGAGAAGAAAGCCAGCACTGCACTTGAGAAAGTTTATAATTTCAATGTTCTGAAATACAAAAATGGCAAGAGGGGTGCTGTTAATGGGATGAGACCTGATGGCAGTTTTGATATGTCTGCAATGCAATCAAGAGAGATATGGTCCGGTGTTACATATGCTGTTGCTGCAACTATGATTCAGGAAGGCATGACAGAAGCTGGATTTAAAACAGCACAAGGAGTTTATGAAGCTGCATGGTCCAAGGAAGGACTTGGGTAAGTTCTACTAATCTTGAGACTACTTATGTCGTTCTTTATTTTAATATGAGGATTTATGTCTCGTAAAAGCTTTTTACCATGCAGAACAATCTATATATGGCTTGGGGTTCTAGTCTTATAGAGGTCATGGGCGTGCTTGGGCCAAGAGAATCTTCCATGGACATTTTCTTGAAATTATAGAGACCTCGGTTTGGCCATTCCTACCACCTTCAGTTTTTGGAGAGTTGGTTAAAAGCCTAAGATCCTACACTTTGTACTGGAGTAGGTTATAGATCGAGTCCTTGCAGTATGTGTGTGTGGGAGGGGCACTGTTTAGCTTGAAGACTGAGGCTTCGTTTGTGACGGCTTTCTTATTGCTTCTTAAAGCAGTTTTTTAGTAGAAAATTTTTATTTTTTTACTAAAAAGTTGCAATAAGCAGTAAAAAAACCATTCCAAACGAAGCTTGAGTTGCCCTTCCTTCCTCGTTGGGGGTGGGGGATATTTCCATGCAGATGGACTTGAGTTAGTCACTTTTGTATTTCAAGATGCTAGTTTGTGTATTCAACTAGGAAAAGTATGGGTTAAGCCATTCATACTGCTTCTTTAATGCATAAAAATAAATTTCAGCAAACCAACATGAAAGAGTCATCCATTACAACTCATATATTAGAGAATTTTGTTGTCCTGAGCTAGGTTGGTTTTATCTCTTATCATTAGACATGTAAGATTCAGATTAATGGAACTTACCTGAAAAAAAGAAGCTTCCAGACACAGGAAGTTACAGCAAGCATTGGTAGGAAAAGTATTATCTTCTACCTTACAGTAATCAGCTCTAGGAAATAGTAAATATACAAGAAGGTTAAGATAGTTTGTTACACATCAATGATATAGATAACCCGAGCAGACATCTAACGGATGGAAGGAAATCAGACTGAAGAACAGAGGTGCTCCACTAGTGGATCACTGAGCCGGAAATTGATATAAGACAATGAATTTATCTTACACTCTTATTACTTATCATTCTGAACCCTTTTGGATGCTTACAAACTTTCTCTCCTCACTTGCTATGGGAGAAGATTACTTTCTATTATCACTAAGAATAATACCAACTAGGTGTTATTGATACATGAGATGGCAAATCAGTGCATTTTTAAGGTGATCAATTTAACTTTTGGTAAAATTTAGGCTTCATTTGGGACGGCTTTTTTACTGCTTCTTAAAGCAGCTTTCTAATATAAAAATTTTAATTTTTATACTAAAAAATTATTTAAAGAAGCAGTAAGAAAGCTATACCAAACGAAGTCTTAATGTGTGGTACACTTGACGAAGCATAGGAAGGGCATGGAGTCATGGAAATGGATATGATTGTGTCCCTAAAAATGTCATATGATATGGTCAGGAAGAATCAATAAGAACGAACTTCATATAATTTGACGAAGTATTTATATAGATAAAGGAAAGAGGTGAATGAAGTCCTGACACTTAAGAAAAGCAATTAGGATAGGAACAGCAGAGTAGGGGTGCTGTGGACAAAGTTGTAATAATATAGAAGGGGTGTTGTGGAACAATTATTAGGTTAGGTGACCTGACGTAGCTCTACGTTCGGACGCCAATAACATGTCGCCACGTGCTCTTACTCTTTACCGCGCGGCCTGACGATTTGACCCGGACCGGAACCCGGGATTGCTATGTTCACGTATTGCTCGGTATTGCTAGATATTACTCGGTATTGCTAGGTATTGCTTGTCAATAATGAGAAATACCGCTCTGTGAAGAGCAATACCGAGAAATACCTAGAAAAACTCGGTATTGCTCGGTAAACTCGGTATTGCTCGGTATTGGTAGGTATTGCTCGGTATTGGTTTTCACATAATGGTATTTCTCGTTATTGCCGAGTAAAATCGACCAATACCTAGCAATACCGAGCAATACCGGGTCGTCATGAATTTAAAATACGCATGTGTGGCATACCCACTATTCGCCGGGTCGGGTCCGCGGTATTGTGCCTACTACGTGGCGCTATATCAGTGGTGACCGAACGTAGAGCTACGTCAGGTCATCGGACCAAATAAAAGTTCATTGTGGACAGAGGAGGGAAGCTAAGATAGGGAAATACTTTGCTAGTGATTAGACTAAGGCTTCATTTGGGACGGCTTCCTTACTACTTCTTAAAGCGATTTTCTAGTTCAAAAATTAAAATTTGAATACTAGAAAGCTGTTTTAAGAAGCAGTAAGAAAGCCGTCTCAAACGAAGCCTAAATGCTACACCACTTTTTCTTCCATCTGCTGCGCTTTATTGCAGGTGGAGCTGCTATAAATGCCAACTTTGCAAACCATACCCCATGATACATGGTATACATGCAATGAGGATATTAGATTATTCTTCTCAAATTACAGCCTTTTGAAGATAAACTCTTTCACACTTAAGCTTTAGATGATTCCACTGCCGATAGAATTTGAAGATATTCAAAGTATCACTCAGTCTAAAGATAATATTGGTTCTGCTGTTGCGGTGCTTACTGGTTGCCAATTCCATGATTACAGGTACTCGTTCCAGACTCCGGAAGCCTGGAACAATAAGGAAGAATACAGATCTCTTTGCTACATGCGTCCTCTTGCCATCTGGGCGATGCAATGGGCCTTGTCTCCACCAAAGCTACACAAGGAGCTTGCAGTAGATACAGTTGGAGGAGATGCTCTTATGAATCACCAGTTAACGTTCGGTAAAGTCGCAAAGCTCTTAAGATTGCCTACTGAGGAGGCTTCTAAGAGCTTTCTACGCGTTATCTATGAGATCACCTGCAGCAGGCTGAGGCCCTCATGATTTTGGAGCTTAACCACTTATAAGGCTTCGTTTGGGACGGCTTTCTTACTGTTTCTTAAAGCAGCTTTCTAGTTCAAAATTTTTAATTTTTGTATTAAGAACCTGTTTTAAGAAGCAATGAGAAAGCCGTCACAAACGAAGTTTAAGATCTGTGGAAGGATCTGCATCGTAGTGGCTGGAGAAGTTTATTACTTCACATCGCAAATTCGTGCCGCACATTTTATGATTTATTGCCCACTATTAAAAAAAAAAAAACTTATAGAACTGTTGAAACTTCTGTTTTTAGATTATTTATGATCCATTAATTATTTCGAAGTTGAACAGTTTATGCTGAATTCCCTTTCCGTTGATTCATGCCTGGCCCTGTTTTATGGCTCCTAAGAAAATCCATTTATATGATATTTTTTTTTTACATAATAAGGAACATGTTTATGTTTTGGATGCTGTAGCTATTCTCTTATGTTCTCATCTGTAGTTTTGCGATGGCTTTGATGTTCTTTTGTAGGCAATCGTTAATTTAAACTGTAATTCTTTAGTGTGGTGATTTATGTTATAAATTTTAATCCTTTATAGAATTTATGTTCAATATACAACATACATTAAAAATAATTATTACCAATGTTGGAAATTGTTTTTCTTTTATTCTGTATATAGGGTGAACTTCAAAGTAATTACCCTGCTACTACTTGTATATAATCAATTTAGGCTTCGTTTGGGACAGCTTTCTTATTGTTTTTAAAGCAGTTTTTTAGAAATTTTTTTAAAAAAATTATACTAAAAAATTTCTTTAAAAAATAATAAAAAAGTTGTCCCAAACGAAGCTTTTTAAAACAATTTTTTAGTACAAAAGTTTTTAATTCAAAAAATTTTTATACTAAGAATTTTTTGTATTAGAAGGCTGTTTTAAAAAGTTGTTCCAAATGAAGTCTAAGTCTCAAAGCATCATGTAGCTTTTTAGTTGAGTACTATATAAAATTGATTCAAAATGACTTTTTTTTTATTAAAAATAGAATCAATTTTGTATTTATGAAAGATTAATTTAATATCATAATTATAATTCGAGATATTATTTTTATCAGTTTTGTATTGTTGAGGGATTAAATTGGAACAATGTGATATTTTGAAATTAAATTGGCCATACATGAATAGTTTGGAGATTATATTGAGATTGTTTAGAGAATTTATAAATTAATTGTGGTAAAGTGTTCTAGAAATTTTAATAAATTTTTATACTAAAAATTGCTTTAAGAAATAATAAAAAAGTTGTCCCAAACGACTCTTTTTTTAAAAAAATTTAGAATTAAAAATTTTTATACTAAGAAATTTTTGTATCATAAGGTTGTTTTAAAAAGTTGTTCCAAATGAAATCTAAGTCTCAAAGCATCATGTAGCTTTTTAGTTGAGTACTATATAAAATTGATTCAAAATGATTTTTTTTTTATTAAAAATATAATCAATTTTGTATAAATTAAAGATTAATTTAATATCATAATTATAATTTGAGAGATTATTTTTATCAATTTTGTATTGTTGAGGGATTAAATTGGAATAATGTGATATTTTGAAATTAAATTGGCCATACGTGAATAGTTTGGAGATTATATTGAGATTGTTTAGAGAATTTATTAATTAATTGTGGTAAGTTTTAAGATATTATAATTGCTTTAAAAGTGTACATGATGATTTTTAAATTCAAATTAATCAAAAATGGTAATTACTCAAACTAATAATTATGATCATTTTATTTGTGATTGTGTCTTAAATTCAAATTAATTAATTTTTTTTTCAATCAATGGTTAATTGTTTTTAATGAGGCTTAATTGAGTAATTAGTAATATGCAAAAATCTAGGCTTAGTAATTAATTAACACACTAGTGCTTTTTAATGATAAGTATTCATGTCCTTCAATAAATTGATATAATCCATTGTTTGGGGACTAAATTGGACCAAGGTTGGTTAAGCTAGATTTAAAAGTTAATAATAATATTGGAAGGTCCTATTGATTTTAGGGGAAATTATTAGATGAAATTAAATTAAATATCCAAATGTTATTTGCAAATGTATTTTTATCTATTGATGAATTAATTTGTATTTTTCTATTTTAGATGGATTACATCGAGGATTAACTTTAACCTTATATCTTTTTGCTTTAGTCATGTATGTTCTTATGAGATATTAGTAAGAGGATATACTTTGGTGTATGCATTGGATGATGATATTCTTCTTGTTGATGAGGCTAGAAAAGGTGTGGTCCATTTTCCTTTTCATTTTCATAACATTTTTCATTTATGTACACAGGTACATTGTGTCCCCAACTAATACCATAAGGGGATATGGTCCATCAGTCAAAGTGCACATTCAAATATTCTACATAAATCATATCATTTGCATTCTCCATATCATTTCATATTAAATTATATAATAAACATCATAACATAGGATACATAATATCTCTTGATAGAAATTCAAGTCTTCTAGTTTAACATGATCAATTCTTTAATAAAGAAAAATCATATAATAGTAATAGTATGAATTTAAATAATAATAGTATTTGATGCATTATGTGTTGAAGAAGCAATTATAATTACAAAAAATTAAAATATGAGTACTCACCTTGAATTTAGGTATAGATATACTTTACTCTCTTCTTGCTCCTAGGTTGATATATTTAACACCTATATGAAAAACTTATTCGTTAAAATTTAAGTTATAAATTGTTCATATAATTTTAATTATAAGTTCTATAATTTCTTATTACATATACCTAGATAGGCATTGTATTTAATTTATTAAATTACGGTAATAAAATTTATTCTCCAAGCATTATCATTTATATATATTTAATAGATCATGAGTTAATTATCATTAATTTATAAACTTTTAAAATTTAATAAATTGTCATTTTAATTAATTAAATATACTCTCTTTTGAAATTAATAATTTAATTAAATAAAACCTCTCATATATTCTCTCTTTTAAGTAGTTATAGTATACCTAAATAGTTCTCATATTTAATTTATTAATTTAGTAATAAATTTTATTCTCCTCGCTTTATCATTTAAATATTAATAAAATTATAATTTAATTATTATTAATTTATAAACTTTCAATATTTAATATACTTTTATTCTCTATAAAAATTAATTTTAATATAATAAATTTCAAAATAATTTATTCTAAAATTTGCTTAATAACATTTACTAATTTGTTAAAAGAAATCATTAATTTTATTGAATAATTACGTATTAGATAGGACCTTTAGGATTTTTATTATTATCATATTATTATTATTATTATTATTATTATTATTGATACGTCATCATAAAATTATCTTGATCGGACACGAATCTCGAAGCAAAAAGCTAGTCGGAAACTTCAAAAATTAAATCCGGGATCATCTGAACTCTGATTTTAGAAAACTTATAGTCGAACTGATCGTATCGGAAATATAAACCCAACAACTCCAAATTTAACTCAATCCGAGCCCAAATGGGTCTGAATCAAAGACTTGAAGCACTCTTGGAAGGTTCGAATAGCAATTTGAGTTACCAAACGATTTCCGATTATAACGAGCTTATAGTCGAATCGAGCGGCTCAATGAGACGAATCCAACAAGCCCAAGATCGCTGAATTCCAACATCACTAAGACCTTCAAATGTCCAACAAATGGTGCACAATTAAGGGATTCAATATCAGCCATCCATTCAAACCACTCCCGATTCGCCCTCGATCTCTCTTCTATTTACGAGCTATGCCACTCCAGAAAAACTATAAATAGAGCCCTCATTCTTCATAAAGGGGGACAAAAGCAAGAAGAAGAGAAGAAGAAGAGAAAGAGAATAGAAGAAGAAGAGAAGAAGGAGGAGAATCAGCTCCTCCTCGACCACCGTCGGAGTTCTTCCCGCCGCCCGAACACGTCAGGATTCTGCCAGTTATTCAGAAGAACGCCGGAATTCTGTACAACTTTGTAACTGAATTTCAATTCAGAAGAAACTCTTTGTAATCTGATCGTCCTAAGTTGTGGGACGAATCAGCCTCTGTACTTCAAACAAACACTAGTGGAATTACTTCAATTGGGCGTGGCCTCGTGATTTTTTCCCTCTTTCGGGTTTTTCACGTAAAAATCTTGGTGTTTATTTTCCTTTCCTGTTTGTGTGCTAAATATTCGTACAACGCTAAGACGGAAATTTACTAACTCTACCGCCGCGTATATTCTAGCCCGCAACAATTATTATTATTATTATTATTATTAAATTAAAATGTTATAAAATAAATTTTAATAATTATCTTAAATACTCACATTTAACGTCTTTCATTCCACCCTACGCACATAAGCATCGTGCTCTTCTCCCTTGCTGCTCGGCTACGATTCCCTTAACCACCTCCATCTTCTTGTTCGGCTTGCCGTCTTTCATTCCACCTTATGCACATAAGCATCGTGCTCTTCTCCCTTGCTGCTTGGCTATGATCCCTTGACCACCTCCATCTTCTCCTTAGGCTTGGTCGAATCTCCCTCTTAATCTCTCTTTCTTTCTCTTAGTCAGTCTCCTATCATTCAGAGCTTCTCACATTCGTTTTACTTCCACTGGAGTGAGCAAAATGAAGATATCTCCTACAAGGAGTTGCTTCCTTTCACTCCTGCAGGCATTTCCTTGCTCAAAAAAGTGATCCGAACCCGCCAGCCCTGTTTTGGCCCATGTTTGATCAGTCTACTTCGCTCGCTGGGTTCGCCTTCTTCACATGCCTGCTTGCATGATATAATAAGGCCGATTCTGTTGAACTGACAACTTGGTTCTTACATGCATAATGGAGAAAAATAAATTAATGTAGCCAGCCCCACATAATAGGATACATCCTTGTTGTTGTTTTTTTGTTGTTGTTATTTTTGTTGTTGTATTGATCAGGTAATTTTTTAACTTTTTGAGAAAAAAAAAATATGAAAGATAAGCTAAGAATAGAAATGTTGTTGAGAGAAATTTGTTAAAGTGTGAGAAATTAGTAAGACTACACAGCTCATCTTGGTCTGTTGGTTGAGAGACATACTATCAACCAAGAGGTATTGGGTTCTAGTCTTGCATACTTATATGATGCGCGCACGAGTTTGTCTTAATTGACCTAAAAGTAAAAAAAAAAAAAAAAAAATAGTAATACTACAAGAACTCAAAATAATTCTCGACAAAACCTCTATTGAAAGACAAGTGATTTGATTGTCTTGAAGTGTTACAAAGCAGTTTTAATGATAACTTAAAAGTTAAAACTACTTGTCTAAAATTTGACATCTTCTAGTTTGTTTGCTTATTCATGATTTAATATAGCAAAATTATGAAGAATATTT